GCATAAACACAAACACACAAATATACAACTGTGAGTACTTAATTTTTATTTATCATTAAAAGCACGCCCAAAAATGGTTAGTAGCATATGCCAAAGCGCACCTTAACACATAAAAAAAATCAAAAAAAAATTATAAAAATTGAAAAGAAAAACTCTAGAATTTTCAGCCGATTCTGCTTAAGTGTGCAGTCAACTAGATACAGAAAAAAAAGCTGTCATTGTAACTTGTATATGTACATATATGCAATAGATAAACGAAATATTGCCAAAAAAAATTAAGTATTAATTTTTAACGCAAATACTAATTTGACCTGACCAATTTTACTGGCTAAATGCTAATGCAAATGAAAAATACATACGCACATACATAGTATATTATTTTGCTGGCTTTGAGTTATGGCTTAAAAAGTTGTTGGCTTAAATATTATTAATTGAGCTCTTAAAGGCCAAACCAAAAAACCAGTCTTGTTCAACTCATAGAAAATATTATATTTTAACCAAATTTACATGTATGTCTATGTTTTTTTTTCATTTAGGGCAATAACGTATAAACTCTTTGTACTATTCGTCATATTAAAATTAATCGATTCTTAATTAATGCCGTAAAAGTAGGCTATTTTTTGAAGAGAGTTTATAATGAATTTTATTCTTTGTATATTTGAGACCGCAATAGTCAAGTAGTTAGCCTTACGTACTGCCATTCTGTAGACAAAAGTTTGAGTCCTGAGCATGACAAGCTCCGAAAATTATAGAAATCAAATTTTCTAGTTACAGTCACCCTCGAAAGGAATAACAAACCCGCCGAATANATATTTTGTTTTAAATTATTTTTGTTTAGATTAATTTATTAACTTTGATTTTAATTTGTTTTATAATTCTTTTTTTTTTTTTTTTTTGTATGTTATTTATATTTTTTAAATATTTATTATATCTCTTCATATTACATTTTAATTATTTAATTTATTTTTTCTTTTTTAGTTATTTTTTCTTTTCTTTATTTAATTTTATTTCATTTTATTTTATATTATTTTATTTTTCTTTTATATTTTTTTTATTTTTTTTTTTATTAAAGATTATTTTATTTTGTTACATTTTAATTATTTAAAATAATTTCCCTCTTTTACCTTATTTTTCTTTTATTTACTTTATTTCACTTTATACTAATCGATTTTGGTTTCATTTCATTATATTCGATTTTATTTCATTTTAATTTGTTTTATACAAAATAATTTAAATTTAAGTTTTTCCATTCCATGAATGCCCAAATCCACATAATCACTAATGCAAAGATTTTGAACTTTTCTGTTGTTGTATGATGCACTTTTCGTAATTTATATTCAAAAACTTTGTAAATATTATTTTTAGCTTAATAAATCTCGTTCAACTCATTTAATTTTTTTGTCTCTCTTCTTATGTGTATGTATTTATTTTGTTTAATTTTTTTAGTCAACACAAAAGAAAATCTTAAGGACATTAATTTTATATATATTTTTTATTTATATCTTATAAATTTTCTTTTGTTTTCTAATGCCCCACAACACTTGCCAATATTCAAACAGATATTACTATTTTCAAAGCCATACCTTTGTTTTAAAATTTATGCAAACTTTTTGTGAACTTTACCATTCAAGCGACGAACTGACAATAAGCTAAAAATTCTATTTCACAGTCTTATTTATACAGAAATCCAGAAAGCCGCGGTGTGCAGAACAATATTTAAACTACGGAAATTGTGAATACGTATATGCATGTACATACAATATATATGTGTATATTGAAAATATAACTACAAATCTATGTGTATGTGTTTGTGGTTTATCAACATTTGGTCCACGAATGAACTCGTCGCATACGTAACGAAATATTCAATATGTAAATATGCATATAGTATATAGTATATATGTTTGAATAAAGTTATATGGGAAATTAGTATAATAGATACAACTTTGTATGTTTTTTTCCAAAATGCAAAAATCGTTGACACGAAATAAAATAAAAATGAAAATAAAAATGGAAATAAAGAAATAAAAGATATGTACAACCCATTGTTTGAACTGCGATTGAATTGTAGTTAATAATTGGCTAGTGGAAAACTGAAAATTAAATAAACGTTTTCGGAATTATGTTTAATTTTAGTTAGACTTTGGGCGCACAAGCTTTGTCTTTATCGTGGGTAGCAGGGTCGATATTGATTAATTACACTCGTAAGGGGGCCAAAACTCTGCTGAGCACAAAAAAAACATATTTGATTTCAATACTCGAATATTTATACTACATACATAAAGCTTTAAAGTGTGCATGAAAGTGTGCAGATATTAGCTTGCCAAGTCCAAACCAACTTTTAAACAGGTTTTAGACTTGACACTTTAGCGAAAGACTTTAAATATTGCCTACTCTTTGAAAGAAGCAGGAGAGTCCATGACTTAACATTTTTCGAACACTCAGCTTATATCTACTCATGAAAACATCTAACTTCTTCCTTTACTTTTGTCACTTATAGATAAAAATAACTATGGGCTAGATCTAGACTGTAATTCAAACTATCCCAGTCCAGTTAAGCAGGGCAGCCCATGCAACGCGGCTCTTTTGACGTGCAAAAACAGCACACCTTTCATCAATTTTCTCCGTCTTTTCTCTTGAATGGCTTCTTTTAGTCGCTCTGTTATTGAACCGTGGTATTCTCCACTTATGTTATCACTTTTATTTATTTTTAATCGATCACTAAAATTCCTACCGAGCGTAAAAAGTTCGTTGCTATGAGTTTTCAAACTGACTGTGACTGCTTAAACTCCGTGGGAAGTGTTGTGCCCCCTTTATGCAACTGCAAATAGTCTCATGTTGATTCAGGTTCATAATGGTGAACCAAAGTTTCGTCTCCAGTAACAACTCGACTCAATACACCAACGTTCTCTCTATTAAAGAGGTCCAAAAATGCACGTGAACACTCTCCGCGCTGTGCTTTTTGCGGAGGCGGAAGCATTCGAAAGATGAATGTGAAGGATCATAAAAATAGTTGTATTGGATGGTCCCACCTTTCTTGCAACTTGTTTTTCCGGAGATGAGTCGCCGCACACCAAAGACATGTCATTCAAAGTGGTCGGAAATTATTTTGCTTGCTACGTAGGGAACTTTCCATATTTTACTACAGTTTTCACTGACTAATTATGTTATTTGGTTGTCTAATTAGCTAATAGCAATGAAACCTCGTATTTATACTACTACAAGTCATACGAGTCACTGAACACGTTACAATCCTAATGAGTTTAATCACCCTCCTACAACCCTCTCATTTCGTGCAAGTTCAGAAAGGTTTAAACTATTAAAATATCTGGGAAGTGGACCAGGGGTCCATTCGAACCTATTGTATATTCATGATACTACTTTTTGAACCAGTAAGGCTTTTAGAATCCAGAGGGCTAATCTAGTGAGGGAACACTTCTCCACCCGCTGATGGTGAACCCGAAATTCCAATCGATGACGATGGAAAAGACAATCCACTACCCGACTTTGATGAGGTTCGAATAGTGATTTCCCGCCTTAAGAACAACAAAGCAGCTAGAGTTGGCGGTCTACCAAAACTATTCAAACTGGTGGTGAAGAATTGGCAAGGTGCATGCATCAGCTACTTTGCAGAATATTGTCGGACGAAAGCATGCGTAACGATTGCAATTTAAGTGTGCTCTGCCCAATTCATTAAAAAAGGGGACCCCACAGTCTTCTCCAGCTGCAATGTCTTTACTGTTATTATTAACCGTATGTTCTGTGTTCTGTTTTCCAGATAAGGAAGCGAAGTATATCAGTCTGATACTGAACGAAGGCAAGACGAAATATCTTCCGTCATCAAACAAACAGCCATCGCATTCGTGACTCGGTTCCCACACCACTGTTGACAGTCATAACTTTGAACTCGTAGAAAGCTTCGTCATATGATGTGTCGGAAGTTTCGCTAGAAGTTTTCGAGAGAAAAGTTTTGCGTAAGATTAATGGTACTCTATTACAAGTTGGGAGTGGCGAATACCGCAGCCGATAGAATGACGAGGTGTTAGAGATATACGGCAATATTGATATAGTTCAATGAATCAAGAAGCCGCTGCGTTGGCTAGCTCATGTGGTCCAGAGGGTGAAAAGTACTCCAGCTTTGAAAGTTTTCGATGCGGTACCCGCCGGTGGTGGCAGGAAATAAGAAGACATTCACCCCATTGAAAATACCAGGTAAAGAAGCACCTATCTGTATTTGTCTGTATAAGCGAAATGAAGGAGGCGTAATTAACGATAATTGGCACTGATTATGGGGTAGCTAATTTTGTGAAACCGATGGAGCACACTTAGATTCTCATCATAGACAACGCATCTGTATGATCATATTCGGCCCAGGAGCTTATCCATGTACTTCGCAGGCATTCCAGCGGTACCAGTCATTTCTTCAAGTGAAAAATTGCTATACGAACTTATTCATTGTCGGGTAATAGAACGTCTGTTATATCGACTTTGTTCGAGGAGTTGGGTTCACCGCCAACCTGTATTTCATTTTCAATGCTTTTCAGCAGGCTGTATACATATAAGTGTACAATCGATAAATTCAGTTGCAAGTTCATTTGGGTCTTACATGATGCTCTTCGATTTTGAAACGTCCGGTAAATCATCTCCGTTTTATAACAGTTAACCGCAGACTGTTTTTTTGAATACACATTTTATGCCCATTTTAACATCGTCAACCACAGCGCTTAAAAGTAAACTTCAAGCGCTTGTAAAACGCACCTTTTGAGCCCCTCAGATACATCCGGTTTGAGTGTCTTTTTGCATCGTCTGTTCACCGGTGCTGCGACGACTGGCGGTCGTCGGTCTTGCAGTATGCCAATCACTGTGAAAAATTGTCCAAAATCAAAATCTACCTCGGTTATTTGGATTTGGTATCGGCTTATGGGGAAAATGAGACAACAGCCGCAATATAATACTCGTCTGTTTCATTTCTACTCGAGCTACATTAAAAACTTTACGCATTGAACTTTAAGCATAAATTACACTGTAATTTTATTTCACAATTAAATATCTTATCTATCATTCGCATTTCTTTGCGCCAAAAGCGGATTTTTGAAATTGCATTCGATGCTGCGGTAAGAAAATGCTTCTCTGTTTTCTCCTGGTCTTAGTCTCATTTCTTGTTCCTGAAATTGATGAGAGTGAAGTATTAGTATGAAAATAACTAGATTTATACACATTGCATGTTTCATTCAAATTTTACCGTAAAATATAGAAGTTCTCCTTCAATTCTCAGTTCACAACTGCAATCTTCTGCCCTCTCGCGCCATTTATACAAAAATTTCTCGTCATGCTTTCGGCATTGACCAATCATTTGAATCAACCTCAGCGATTCGCAGTGCTCCGGAAATATAAAAATGTCCTTTTCTTTAAACAATGAACAATATCGAATTGCAAGCTTTTCCAATGACATACAAACATCTAACAATTTTAAAAATTCCTTTAACGAAGATTCACACAATTCCCACCCATCATGAATACCCTGTAGTACATGACCAGCCTCGCTATATGTGCCGAAATAACGAAATGATATCATTTCATATGGAAGTGGATGAACTTCAAAGCTCACGGAATGTAATGAGTTCTGCTTTGTTTCCGAAAGCGCAGAAAATAAGATTTCTTCAAATCCTTCATAAGTACGTTTCCAATAAAATTTCAATTCCACCAATAGAGGTAACTTTAAAATTAACAAAATCGTATCCTTATCCTTAATGGCGGACAGCCATAGTGTTGTCAATGTTGCATATTGCGTCTTTACTAAGGCTGAAAAAAAGGCTGGTTCGTAAAGTCTTCGGGTATCCACCATATTTAACTTCTTCAAATGCAATTGATGGCAAACCTTTAACATTTCCACTAGACGACATCTCATACTAGAGCATATGTCGATCACTTCCAAATTGCGAAACGAACTAAAGTGTTCACCAGTTGTAAAATAAGTATAAGCGTCCATGAATTGCAGTTCACGTATTTTTGGACAACATCGTGCCAATTCGTCAATCACTTCATCGGCAAGGAAGATTCCCTCGATTTGTAAAATTTCCAGATACGGAAAGTGTACCAGATGCCGACGAATTTTCATACTTACAGAACATCGCAAATTTCCTTCCCAATGTAAGTACTTCGTATATTTGTCCATCGTTGCGTAATCGCTTAAACTGTCGACGATCATAAATTTTAGATACCGACCGACAAGCATACAAAAATCCCACACTTCTTCATCACTTAAATTGTGATACTTAAATACACGGTGAAAGGAGAAGAAAAGTGCGCTAAATTTCCTCTTCCATATTGACAAGATAATTTTATAGAAATAATAACAAGTTTTTGCCAATACTATTTGTTCACGAAGGGTACAGCGTTCGAAGATAATAATCAAGCAGTCCAAGTCTACGTCGAAAATATTTGCCAGTGCTTGAAGATTTCTTGGCTGAGGTAAATGCCATTTAGCCGTTCCGCTATATGCACGTAAATTAGGATAAGTGTAAGGCATAATCTGCGCCAAGTTCCTAAAGCTGCAAATAAACATTCGAAAGGGAGGAATTCAGTGTTAGTTTACCGAGGTGAAATGGAAGGTATATGTGTTATAGATTAAAGTAAGACTGATCTGTATTCTATAATGAGGCAAATGCTTCTTCTTTAATGACAACATTGCGTCATTTATTTCTTGCTGTTGCTTTTAGGCGCCAAATTGGAAATACCAAGTACAGCCTGGTCTTTCTCTACCTGGCTTTTCCAATTGAGTGCTTCCACCGTTGGGTACTGCAACGTAAACTTTCAAAGCTGGAGTCTTCTTATCCATGCAACGAACCCGCTGTTTCTTGATTCGCTGAACTATGTCAATACCGACGAATCATATATCTCATACCATATATATCATACCGTCGGCTGAAAATGAATCTTACTTAAAACATTTTTCTCTAAGTCTTAACGCCAACTCATCAGTTTTTGTCATCGTCTATGTATTCGTACCATATAGTAGTAGAACGTGAATGAGGAGTGACTTGTAGATTTTGGCTTTCATTCGTCGAGAGAGGACTTTACTTTTGTTGACAAGAGCGATTCTGCGTTGGATTTTCTGACTGACAAGTTGTTGTTGTTTATGGTGACTCCAAGATACTACAATCTACTACTTCAAAGCTATGACTGTCAACAGTGACGTGGGTGCAAGATCGCGGATGCGATGACTGTTTGTTTAATGACGGAAGATATTTCGTCTTGCCTCGTTCAGTACTAGACCCATTCAATTCGCTTCCATATCCATTTTGGAGAAAGCATAGGTCACGGCGCGATTGCTAAGGCCAATAATGTGAATATTATCGGCGTACACCAGTAGTTATACACTCTTATAGACGATTTTTTACGAGTGTTTAGCCTTGTGTACTGCCATTCGGAAGGCTCAGAAAATTAATTTAAGTAACAAAATTAAGACAAAATTGTCTAATTGCGGTCGCCCCTCGAGAGGGAATGTCAACCCCTCCGAGTGTATTTCCGACATGAAAAAAAGTTCCTCATAAAAAAAACCATCAGCCGTTCGGAGGTGACTTAGTATAAACTGTAGGTCCTCCATTTATGAGTATATATATATGCATATATGCATATTCACCTCTGCAGCTCGTACACCATACAAATTTGATGGGATATAGACTTCATCGAATGGAGTTCACAAAATGAAATGCTTGATTATGAAGCTCCGCATAATCCGGCTGAATTCCCAATTATTATGAGATAAATCTACTCTCTATAATTGTGGTCGCCCCACGACAGAGAATGCCAGGCCCTTACCTAGCGCATTTTGTGAAAGATTAAAATCAAACGTCAACAAACTGATCGGACATTATTCAACTGACCTCAGATCTGCTAAATCCGCCATCCACTAGATATTCCCCGTGTAAAAAATTTTGGAAATGAGCCACGAGATAAGAATAGATGCACAACATATTTTGATCCACTTCAAAGCAGCCTTCAATAGGCCGAAAAGGAGCTGACTCTACGCCACTATGTCTTGAGTTAAGTAATCCTGATAATAATACCATAAGCGCAGTTCAAATTGTGAAGAACCTATCCAGGCATAGTAACCAACAGAAGCACCTATAGTAATATCGGCTCTAACAGGTGGATCACTCTTGCCAACAGATTCTACTACGACTGAGTAGGTGATGGAATGAGTACTCTTTTGAATAACAAAGAGAAAGCTCTCTCTACAAGCCGTTCATTACCCCCGCCTTGCAGTATGATTCAAAGCCTTGGGAAATGCGTCAGCAGTAGGAATTTTCGAAAGAAAGACTTTGCGAGAGAGTTATGGTTCTTTGCGAGCTGGGAACAGCGAATACCGCAGATAATGGAACGATGTACTATACGAAGAGGGCAGTGACTACACTGGCTAGACCGAGTCGTCCGAAGGGAAAAATACTCCAGTTTTCAAAGTATATTACACAATACCCACTGGTGGAAGCATAAAAAGAGGAGGATCTTCCATTTAAGTGATTAGGTGCAAAACGAACTACATACTGCAGGATTATTGTCACTGTAACTCAACATTTATTGTACTAATTAAATTTGTAAGTCGCTCAGGATATGAGGTTTTAAAACAAATTATTTTAAGGAAAGAAATTTAATGCTTTATGCATTTCTTTTTTACATAAATTACAGTTCCTTGCAACATTATGAAAAATACATAGTGTTATACGATTATAGCATAGCCATATATTTTTAGCGCTTTGGAATCGCTGAAAGGATTTTCGAACGAGCTTCTCCTTTACTCTAACTGCCTCCGAACGGTCGTTAGATTTTTTTTTTAAGGTTTTTTATTTCATATCAGAAATACACTCGGAGGGCTTGGCACTCCCTACCGAGGGGCAAGCGCAATTAGAAAAATTAGTTTTCGGACGAGCAGTCCAACGCTGGCCTTCCGAATGCCAGTGGCTTATCACACGGGTATTGCCACCGCCATATGCACAGAATACTTGTCCAAACAAAGTCCAAACCTATATTGTCCGTCTAATGCGCAAACTATAACTGATGACATTACTCACAAGTGGAGAGTCTTCCGCTAAACACAACAGTACACTCTCACCATTTTTAAATCTATTTTCATCTCACCAATCATATGAATCTTCACTTTTACAATTAACATAGACGATCAAATCTTCTTCCAATGGCACTATGTCCACCACATTCCACGCTTCCGTATATTTATTGAGTTCACTGTGAAGTCTGTGAACTGACCACTGCAAGCAAATTGTTTTAATCAAGTAATTATTATTAATGCATCTATTATGTGTAGCTCATGAACTTACATCCTTTGGTAAACCAAAAATGGTGACTCTCCGTTTGTAGCTATTCATATTAATTACTTTTTGAAAAAAAAATTAATGCAATATTTAAAAGAATATAATATTTTTTAAGAAGTAAACAACTTGTATGCGTAAGAATATGTATATACGAGTATATATGTTAATATGATTAGATATTACCATCTCCCTCATCTCCTTAGAAAATGTATGGCTAACTGTTTTCAATAATTTATAAACCCTCTCGGAAAAATTATGGAATATATCACAAACAAAAATTTATTAAAGAATTTGTGTTTAATGGAATTTTATTTGAGTTAAATAATTATTTATTTCAATTCATTTATTTTATTACATTTTAATTTTTTTTAATTCACTTTATTTTATTATATTTTAATTTTTTTAAATTGATTGAATTTATGTTATTTTATTTTAATTAATAATATTATTTTTTTTTTCATTTATGATACATAATTTTTTTAAATTTGGCGCAAAATTTATTAAACTCAATTTAATCGAAAATAATTCTGTTTAATTCTTTTCATTTTACTTTCTGTCGACTCGGATGGATACTCACCTGCCTCGGTACACCAACAACGCCCGTCAGCAAATACAAGGAAGGCTCGACGTCCAAAAGCTGATCAGCAAGACGGTATAAGGGAACTGTGAGATGCCGATCTCAAACTACCTACGTATAGCTGCAAATGTAACTATTGGTATTCGAAAAGGTCGCAAAACAGCTGGTCCGATGAGGACTGCCGTGTCGCACGCAGAGGGGAGAAAACAGGCGGCCCTCGCAATCTTGCGATTGATCAGAACACGTCTGGTGTAGGATAGATATCGAGAGCTGAAGAGGGAAGCAAGACGCATATGTACCAAGGCAAAACAAAAAAAAGAAAAACAAAATTAAAGGCGCTGATATGCGTGGGTATGCAGAGCTTGAGAAGCTGGCCGACAAAGGCAATGTTCGAAAATTCTACGAATTTTATAGTGATCTGTAACTGTTGCCCAGAGTATGCTGAGTTTATGAAGAGAATACTTCTTCAGCCTGCTGAACGGCAGTGACAGCTAAAAACTACGGAAATAGTGAATCCGATTATGAAGGCGTTCGAATAGCAAGCGGCCTTATAAAAAAACAACAAAGCAACGGGGTCTGGTTGAATACTCGAAGAGCTATTCAAATAACTTCTTTGCAAAATATGATCGGATAAAAGCATGCCCGTCGATTGAAACCTAAGTGTGCTCTGCCCAATCTACAAAAAATGTCAATTCCATAGTCTGCGACTATTACCGTGAAATAAGACTCTTTAATATCGTATATGAGGTCCTATCGCGCGTATTGTGTAAATGACTAAAGCCCACCAACCGTCAGCAAATTGATTGGACAATAGAATGCTGGTTTTAGACCTGGTAAATCAACCATTGACTACATATTCACCATGCGACAAGTCTTGGAAAGGACCCGTGTAAAAGGATTGCCGATTTTAAAGCCGCCTTCGAGAGCATCAAGAGCAGTTGCCTTTCCACCGCTTTGGTTGTATAAACTGATGTTAGGCAACTACGAAATAATCCTCAGAGTCGCAAAGAACCTTTCCAAGCCGTACGACCAAACGAGGCTTCAGACGATGTGATTCCTTATGGTGTGACTTCTCTAATTTGTTGTTGAAAGGAGAAGGTACAATCTTCTATAAAAGTGTTCAGCTGTTGGCGTACGCCGGTACATTACTGGCCTCAACAACCACGGTGTGAAGTTTACTTTCGATAAAGAAGCTAAGCGAATGGGTCTGGTAGTGAATGAGGGCGAAACGAAATATATCCTACAATCAAACAAACAGTCGTCGCACTCGTTACTCGACTCCCACGTTACTGTTGATAGTCATAACTATGAAGTCTTAGATAACTTCGTCTATCTAGGAACCAGTATTAACATCAACAACAATGTCAGCTATTCAAGCACAGAATCGCTCTTGCCAACAGGTACTACTTTGGGTTCTGTAGGCAATTGAAAAGTAAAGTCCTCTCCCGACGAACGAAGACAAAACTCCAAAAGATGCTCATCGTTCCCGTCCTGCTATATGGTGCAGAGGAATGGACGGTGACAATATATGATGAGTCCAGAGTTTTAGAGATAAAGGTTTTGAGTAAGATTTATGGTACTCTACGAGTTGGGTACGGTGAATTACACAGCCGATGGTATGATGAGCTGGACGAGATATACGGCGATATTGTCTTAGTTCAGCGAATCGATAAACAGCGGCTGTGCAGGTTAGGTCTATATATATCAAAATACACCAGCTTTCGATATATTATCCGCCTGTGGAAGCAGAACAGAAAGCAGAGGAAGAAGTAGACCTCCTCCCCGTTGAAAAGACCAGGTTGATAAGGACCTTGCCGTACTTGGTATCTTCAAAGAACTGAAGAAATGAATTACAAAATGCTATTGAGTCGGCTATAATCGCGTAAGTGGTGTCTACAACAGTAAAGATGAAGAAGAATATAGTTGGGAGCAAACGGACTTGTTTACTAACTAACTAACGTGGCTAATTCCAATCAACTTATTATTATAACCCGATCAGTCTGAAATTTGGATGGGTCTATCTTTTCCCCTTCTAGTACTTACATAGTTCACACCAAAGCTAATATAACTTGTTAAGATATCATTTATACATGAGAGGTACCGCGTACCTTGGTAATTACTTTATTTGTCTCCCTGACGCACCTTGCTTTATTATATAGTTGTTTGGTTGGTTGAAGTAGTTGCCTGACATTAGCTTACTTAGCAGACCAAATTCTAATACCACTAAGGATCATAATGCCACAAACCACCAATCAAATTAAAGTCTGGAGTTTCCAAAATTGAGCAACTCGCTGTGTCTTAGCCCCTACTATTGCGCTCAAATTTCTAAAGGAAGCCTAAAGTTTCGGGCAATCACATAGAAAGTCTTAATATTTCCATCCTGAATGACTTTAATCCGGATGATGTAGAAATTTAAGTTCATGAATCAACAGAAACATCCGTTATTGTCGATGGAAGCATAGCCAATTTTCGAAAATGTCGTTAAACTCATGGACATTGTCGTGTTCGACACTGTTTCGATATCCCAAGAGCTAAAGATTGCACAAAACCCGTATGGAACAGTTTGAATAAAGCTGGATATGCAAATAAGCTCTATGGATGGGTGCCACACAAGTTGACGCAAAAAACCTCATGGACCGAATTTCCATCTGCTGCCAATCGCTACGGAATCGCAACAAAATCGACCCATTTCTGAAGCGGTTGGTGACTGGCGATGAAAAATGGATCACTACCGATAACGTCAAGCGAAAATAGTCGTGGTCGAAACACGGCGAGCCGGCGGAAAGGGTAACCAAGCCAAGACTGACCACCAGGAATGTTTTGCTGTGTGTTCGGTGGGATTGGCAGAGAATTATCTACTATGAGCTACTCCCATATAGCAAAACTCTTAACTCGGAACAGTACTGTCAACAATTAGACCATCTTATATATAAGATGCAAAGGAAGCAATCGCCCAGAAGCGGCCAGCTTTAGCTAATACGAGAGGAATTGTGTTCCTTTAGGATAATGATTCGCCAGAAGCTCCGTGAGTTCGATTGGGAGGTTCCTATGCATCCACCTTATAGTCCGAACACACAAAGTGAATTCCATCGCTTCCTGTCCATGGCAAACAATTTTGCTTTAGAAAAATTCGCTTTAAGAGAGGTTTGTGCAAATCGACTGTCTCAATATTTTGCCAATAGTAACGAGGGTTCTATGAGAGAGAGGCATAAAGAAATTAACTTTACAAAATGGCGTATATTTGATTAAAGCCTTAAAATTCATACAAAAAAATAATGGATTTCTTTTTACTACATCCAATACATGCATATATTCTATACAATACAAAATATCTTAAATGAACTTCATTAAATAAGAATTTTTTTACATTTATTAACCTAACAAAATTTAAAAAAAAAAAATAAACTGAAAAAGGTAGAATTTCAAAATCACTTTAAAAAAATAAAAAAAAAATATCAGTTTGCATGAAGTTTTGAGATATTCACAATGCAAATTATTGTAAACTTACCTCGACCTTTTCATAATAATCAAAGTAAACGGAAGTTAGTTATCCAGAGCTTGGGGAAAGCAAAAATGTCATATCAGCTTAGCCAACGGTTAGCTATCCTCCGGTTAAAGGTTTATGCTGTAACTACCCAACTCACGTACCAGCCGTCCATAGTAACCTATCTTATGTGAGCGCCATGTGAACACAAAGTTGTCACCGCTTGTCCATGCCGTTAGTGACGGTTGTCCCACAGAAACCAACGGCGATTTGATTCTCTCCGTAAAACCGGCTCGGCTCATTGCTCGTTGCTATACAATGTTGCCAGTATAGTCTTTCTTAAACTAACATTAAATAATTGAAGAAAATGCGTAGTTTTTTTCAAAAGAAATGAAAAATAAATGCGCAAACTAATTATTTGTTGCCATATTCGTTGATTATTATGAATTTGTTGGCAGCTGTCAATATTTCGCCGCACTCAGCAGCGTCGATAACCCGTGTATGTATCTCACCTTGGCGTCGCCAGTTATGGACGGCTAGTAAGGGAAATGGATAGTTGCAGCCTTAGTTAAATTAAACAGCCATTGTGAAAATGGGCCTTAGGGTAGAGATTTCCGGCATATAAGCACTAGTCTACAGTATAGTCCAATGATGCCTGCATATCAAAATCCGCGCCAACTGATATGCTGTGGTTTTTCATCAATCACATAGCGATCCAACGGGCCACAAATGCTACAATTTCGGCGATTGAATCTTCGCTTTTGCTCGAAAAATTAGTAGCATTACTTTTAAGTTATTCTTAAGTTCTAACTTCTATCGTGTAAAGCTTCAACGGTCAGCTGTCAATATGTTTTTTCGCACTTTTTTTTTGAGTTACCAATACTTTAATACACAAATCGCGGCAAATTCATAGATATATTGCCTAAAATTTTAGAAGACCCTCTACATAAGGTTTAAGATTATTTATTTAATATTTTTTTGCTCTTTTATACTTTCTTATTATTCTAAAACATTTGTTTGCAGAATTTATACAATATTTTTTGGACATTTTAAAGTCAGTTAACCCGTTTCTACGAAGCATCTTTAAGTTTTCCAGAAACCAATTATTCCAAAATTATACAATAATAGCAAAAACACATCAACTTTACTCTAAACATATGCTATTGTACATACTTATATACTATGAAGCAAAAAAAAAATATTCATGGAATAAATTCGCACTCGATACTGCGATAAAGATTTCCCAATTTGAGTTCTGTTTCTTCCTTCAAATCCTGAAATTGTTTGGAATTAAATAAATTTATTTTTAAATTTGTTTTTATATTTTTACCAGCACTGCAGGCCAATCCAATTCACCCTCAATATTCAGCGAGCAGTTGGAGTATGGCAGTTTTTGCCAAGATTTCAGTAAATATTCATCGGACTGCTTGCGACAACCTACAAATCGAATCTCTTTCAAAGATTTGCATACTCTTGGTAATATCAAAAGTTGTTTTTTCGATAACACACGACAATACAGACAGACGATTGATACTAATGACGTGCAAGCGGACCACAATAGTTGCGTTTCTTTATGGCATTTCATCCATAGCCACGGAGGTCCTTCAATAGCAGCCATTTCACGCATTTTTGTATATTTACCCGCACCCCAACGAAGGTGCGATTGATTAATCATAAAAGGTGGCTGGTTTTCACAGCAAATGCGATGCAATGCCGTTGGTCGTACCGTCGCGAGTTGCGTATAAAAGATTTTTTCAAATTCCAAAAAATCATTCAACCAATAAAATTTCAATTTCTTCAATTTTGTAATCTTCAAAATTAACATTATCGCACCCGCATCTGGAATTGCTGTTAACGAGAGATGTGTCAATGTACTGTGCTGGTGTGCTATTATGTGCCGAATTGTTGGTGCATTACACAGTTTTCGACACTCCACAATATGCAGCTCGCGCAGTTGCAGCACTTTACAAGCTTCCTCAACTTTTTTGGCATCCAAATTCGGACACACACGCAAATCGAGCACTTCCAAATTGTATAACATTTTCAAGTTATCACCTGTAATTTCTCCATTATACGGATCGAGCAATTTCAACTCATTTAATAATGGACAGCAACGTGCCAAAGCGTCAATGGTTAAGTCATTGAGAAAACTACCCTCAACTTGTACGGTTCTCGCCACTGGAAAGTGCACCAGATGCCGATGGAATAGCACATTTATGTAACGTATTTTATTTCGTAAATATTTTTGCGGATTTTCATTGTATCTCTCCAAGTCCTCCTTGTGTACTCTGAAAACACTATTGAATTTCAACGTTTCCACATATCGACCGACTATTACACAAAAGTCCCAAAAATCGTTTGCACCGAATTGGGAGACAAAATCTTCAGAGATTGAAAATACGTTTAACATTTCTGCCCAATTATCTGCGACAATAGAATTTAAGCGCATGGAATGTTTCGCTAGAGAAAGAAAAATCGGATTCAAACTTTTATTTGGCATATTTAAGAAAAGACCAAGTTCGTGTGGCTCTTCCTCTTTTACGTTTTCTTCTAGTTTTTCTTCATCTTCTTCTTTTTCTGCTTCTTTTTCTGCTTCTTTTTCGTTCTCGTCTTCTGCATCTTCGTTTCTTTCTTCTTGTTCCTCTACTGCTTCGTTTCTTTGTTCTTGTTCCTCTACTGCTTCGTTTCTTTGTTCTTGTTCCTCTACTGCTTCGTTTCTTTGTTCTTGTTCCTCTACTGCTTCGTCTCTTTCTTCCTGTTCCTCTACTGCTTCGTTTCTTTGTTCTTCTTCCTCTACTGCTTCGTTTTCCTCTTCCTCTTCCTCTTCCTCTTCCTGCACTATTTCCAAAGCTCGTTCGAGTTCTTGTCGGTAATCTTCATCCTCTTCTTCTGGATCCTTTACGAAACGTACATTTCTATAAGGATACGGTAACACATCTGGAAAATATCCGATCCTACAAACATACATTAACAGTATAGATTAAAAATTATAATAATAAATATTATTTAACAGTATCAATATGGTTTTTTTAAAAGCGTCACTTTCAAATTTAATATTAACACGAATATTATTATTATTCTTATTCTTTACTGAAGGGGTTATAGTCGAGTTAACCACATTGCGGTATGCATTTCTTCATTTCGCTTTTTGGCGCCCAAGATACCAAGTACGCCCAGGTCCTTCTCTAACGGGTATTTCCTCTGCCTTCACCGGCGAGTACTGAATCGAATACTTTCAAGGCTGGAGTATTCTTAACCAACCGAGCTACATAACCTAGCCAGCGCCACCGCTGTTTCTTGCCTGGCTGAACTATATCAACGGCAAACAGCTCATCGTCCCACCGGCTGCAGTGTTCGCCGTTCTCAATTTGTAGAGAACCATAAATCTTAAGCAAACCTTTCTATCAAAAGCTCCTAACGCCGACTCATCTGTTGTTGTCATCGTCTATGCCTCTGCACTATATAACAGCACGATTGGTAGAGTTTGGTCAATTTTCGTCGTGAGGGGACTTTACTTTTCAATTGCTTACACAGTTCTGCACTGAATCTCCAAGCTGGCTTTTGTTGTTTTGTGCTGGTTCCTAGATAGACGTAATTATCTACGATTTTAAAGTTATAAATGTAAACAGTGGCGTGGAAGCTGACTGTTTGCTTGAGTACAGGAGATATTTCGTCTTGCCCTCGTTCACTACCAAACCCATATTCTTAGCTCCCTTATCAAGTTTTTCGGGAATACCGAATTCAGACGGCTGCTTTAAACTCCTGTTTTCTGGGGTATTTTCCAAGAGATTCGAGCTCAGGCAATGAAACATTTTTTTATTCGTCATCGATTGATTCCCCGTTCACCATCTTCTGATGTGGCCGTATCACTACCATTCAACAGGTAGAAGAAGTGTTCCCTACATAAATTCAGTATACTCTAGGCATCAGCTACCCGATCACCTCTTTGTGTACTACAAATGTCTGTTCCGGTCTTGAAACCTTTTGTCGGTCACTCGCAGAATTTTCGAGCATTATCTCTGTCGGCCAGTTTATCAAGCTCTCCTCACGCATTTCGGCTCCTTTTTTTTGTTTTCATATATTTACGTCTTGCTTCCCTCTTCAGCTTTCCAGATATATCCCTCTCCGCCAGCTAACTTAAGGCAGTGAAAAAAAGAAGAGATGTCTTCGGCCAGGCAATACCATTACTACCATACTATATCATTACTTTTTCCGGTTTCGATGATTTCCGACCGAGAAATTATCATTTTATATAAAGATAAGAGCTTGTCATTATGTTTTAAAATTGATTTTGGGCATATGACCGCCGCTGCTGGCTCGATTAAATTCCGGCCGAGTGGCGTCAATCGTTTCGGGCTTATCAGAATAGACAAGCGAGTCCACTCAACACTATTAAAAAACAATTCAGCCGTATAAAATCGCATGATCTTAGAGGTCACATTACAGACCCACGCTCACCAAAAGGTTTCTTCAATAAATTGATTGTCTCGTTGGGTGTATGGCAAGTAACGCCATCTTGTTGAAACAAAAGATCGTCCACATCAATATTCTCCAATACAAGCACGAAAAAGTAATTAATCAATGCTCTATAACGTTCCCGTGGACTGCAACATGGTGACCGTCCTTCATTTTTGCAGAAATGTGTGACTTTGTGAGGATGTAACGGCGTCTCAACAAAGGCTTGTGGATTATCAACACTTCAAATACGGCTATTTTGTTTATTAACATACCAATTCAACCAAAAGTGAGCTTCATTGCTGAACAAAAATTACTTGTGCCATCTTATTTTGGGCGCATCCAGGGACCGTACGACACGCTTGACGGTCGGTCGATTTCATTTCTTGCACGAGCTGGATTTTCTAAGCCCGCTAACTAAGGTCCTTCTACAAAGTCTTCCGTAAAGTGAATGTTGTGTGAGATGGCGGATGAACTCATGCATATCGTCTTCGGATCATACTATGCGGCGTCTCTGAGGTAGCATACGTTCCACTAGAGTAAGCGTGATGCGAAAACGATCCATGGTAGATCGAATTATTGACTCTGCTATGTGATTATGTCGCCTGAATATTGGATGCAGCGCTCGAACTGTATAATTATTTTGCTTTTGCTATTTTGCTAATGTGTACGATAAGCAAACATCGTTCAAAGCTGTCTAAATTCCGACTCCGAAAAAAAAATATTGCCACACAGAAAGCCACAAGTCTATGCTCTTAGATGCTTTTTTGATGGATTTTTGAACCAAAACAGACAGACGAACAAACTGACTGCCTCGTACGGTGCTCAAAATCAAGACGCCCAGCGGTTATAAAGTGTCAGCTGTATTTGGTTCTTTGTCTCTTTTTACTTAAGGGGTAAAGCCAGTTTAGGATTTTGGAAATCGCATTTTTTTTTTGCTCACAGGGTACCTTTGGGTCCTAGAAATGATATGCAGTTGGTTTTAAAATGAAACAAATATTTCAAATAGCTGAACTTTTTATTTTGCTGCCGCCCCTCAGAGCGTGCGCTGAGTACAATGAGAACTTTAATCGCGTTTTTCTCAAACTGGGAGGATAGATTATTCGGACCTCATTGCATCGATTTATCTTAGAATTTGATGGTTACTTCACAAATACCTTTATTTTTTTTTTTGAAATACGTAACCGCTTTCCGATTAAATGTAAATTTGTATTTTTTAAATAATTTACTGCGTATTTTTTCTTAGTAAAAAATCTTTCTAAATAAAAATTTTTAAAAACAAGTTTACCACTTTCACAAAAATTAGTTAAAAATAAATTCGTACGTATTTCCAAAGACCATAGTTTGTAGATCATAAAGCTCTTTGCTTTTCTGTTCTACGTCCCATCCTTTAGAAGAAATTAATCCTTCCCCGGACGGCTTTCAAAAAAAAACATGGATTAAATAATGGACTTTATCACATCTTTTTTGTAACAAAATAGTAATTAAAGAATATTTTTTTATACTTCAATATATGAACGTGTATGTTCAATGAAATAGAAATTCTATTTATTTTTTCTGCATATTCCTACAATAAATTTTTAGAAAGAGTCTATTTTTCAACCTCTAGAGTGACTTTTCCTCTTATGTCAGAGAAAAAAAAATCGCACGCACTCTTTCAGCGGGAACATTTTTATAATTTTATGTGTGTATGTATGTATTTTATGGTTCTTAGTCCGAGCTTACACGAGGATACTTTGTGTCGACGAAACTCTCGTTTGTTTTGAAGGCGACAGACACCCTGTCGCTGTGCTCGTTCGACGCGCTTTCTGTTTCTATTCGTCTCTGTAGATTTTGACATTCCCTTTTATTTTGTAACTCATTTTGAACTGATAGTAGCTGCCTTAAATTTCAAATGAATAAATTAAGTAAATTCGGAAATTGAATTTTGGGTTTTTACTACAATATTTACATATGTATATGTATGTGCATATATGCATAGAAACATATATTTATTAATTATTAATAAATAATTCATATAATGTATTTTGCAGATAATGTGAAATTAATGCAAGAAATATTAGTGTGTATTATAGAAGCCGCTTACAGGCCTATTCTCACTGGTCGGTACCGGTAAAATAAATTTTGTTACTTTTCTTTAACACCCGAAATTGAATTTGGTATTCTGGCGAGCTGGTTACAATGTTTGAAAAAAATTTGGCAGCACTGCTTTTTTCGTACATGTCAAATTACATTTACCAGTTGATAAAGTAAAAAAGAAAAATATTCACATCGAAATGGAAGACGGTGCGCAAAAAGAAACAATAAATTTTATTAATTTGTTTATTAAATCATAAATATGATATAATTATGAATAATATGTCTGGACAACAAAAAAAGCTGAATGAAAACGTTATCTTACAATTAAAGGGCTATTTTTTAGTTTCGAAAACTTCTTAAAATACGCCTTTTTGCACCTTTTCTTCATCTTCAATGAATTCCAGGCCTAAAATATGCCTACTCATTTTTATTTATTTATTTTTTATCAAACTACCAACACAAAATAAAATAAGAGATATTTTTGTTACCTCGTATTTCGCTGATATCAAAATTTACAGGGTGACAGTGAACTTAGAATACGAAATAGTAACAAAATTTACTGAATGGTAAATTTTAATACCAAAGTAAATTTTCTTTCCTCTACAGAATAGGCCTGTTAGACTGAGATTTACTATGATGATAGTGAAAAGGATGAGATATGAATTAGATTACACTTTTGAAAGGGTAGAGATGACGTTTAAAATCGAATGTAAAAATATATATATAAAAAATAGATAAATAAAAACAGTGTCTTCCTTTACACACACGTAGCGTTATTATTTCAGAAATATTGAAAAGTGCGAAGCAAACGAAAAATTGCGAGTGTGAAATAAAGCGGAATAGAGAAAAAGAAAATAAAGAAGAAACAAATGTAAAAAAATTGCTTGAAGCGCGACACAAAAAAGAAAATTACGCCCAAAGTATCCTCATGTAAACGCAGACTAATGCATTTTAAAATTCGATGAAAAATCACAATCTGAAGACTAAATTTTCGTTCCAATTACAATTGAAATTTGTTCCTACCCGACACCTAAAAAACTCCTACTAATCATGATTCGGTGCTAATGAAAAGAACAAGAAATGATTTCACACAACGTTCCCTGTGTGGTTGGGCGAGAAGTGGGAAGCCGTTGGGCATAGTATAATAATAAAAATAAAAATATCTTACCAAAATCTTCCTTTGTTTTTGGCCACAAGTTTTGCTATTAAGCCCTCCTCCACCGACATGATATATGCCAATTCCCATGATGTCGTAAGTGTATTCATGTAGTTGCATAGTGCATAAATAGAATACTGTGAAATAGAAATTAAAATTAAAATAAAAAAAAACAGAGTTTTGTATGAATTTACAATTAATGAATCCGATTTTAACAAAAAGAGAATATTTGTGGAATTAAATGACTTAAGAAAGCTATTTTAATGCAGGTTTTGAAATTAACAATGTTTTTTCTAGCACTTTACATATATTTAAATTTGTTTTCCTACAATTTGGCTTCGTCCACCACTGTTAGCCATCTCTTTGACTGATTTTCCACAAAATTGTTTTTTTTATTTTTAATTTTTTTTTTTTGCTCACATCTTTGGGTATGCCAAGTACTGTTTGCTCATCTGTCTGGCGTTGCATGGATGTTATTGACTTAAATCCAAACAAATATGCAAAGAGTATCTAAATTAAATTCACAAAGTTGATTTATGTCGACTTTTTACGTGGTATTAAAATTGTTTTCTATACTTTCGAGGACCGCGCAGCTGTTCTCCGTAGCGCATCACAAAGATTACAGTTTCTTGTTGGGCTGTGCAGTTATTTATTGTAGGTAAACAAGGTAAGGTTATTTTATTGTAGGCGATCGCGATGGCTGAGTGTTTAGCATTGTGTACAGTCATTCGGAAGGTCAGAGTTCGGTTTGAGTCCATGTACGACAAACGTTCAAAAAATTATAGAAAATTCATTTACAGGCATATTCCGATGAGGTAACAAAATTTACGTAGGTATTAAAATTTACCATTCAGTAAATTTTGTTACCATTTCGTATTCTGAGTTCACTCTCACCCTGTAAATTTTGTTACCACCGAAATAGGAGGTAACAAAAATATCTGCTATTTGAATTTGTGTTGTAAATTTGAGAAAAAATAAAGAAACCAAAATGGGTAGGCATATTTTAGGCCTGGAATTCATTGAAGATGAAGAAAAAGGTGCAAAAAGGCGTATTTTAAGAAGTTTTCGAGACTAAAAAACAGCCCTTTAATTTGTAAGATAACGTTTTCATTCAGCTTTTTTTGTTGTCCAGGCATATTTTCCATAATTAGGTTCAAATATTTATGATTTAATAAACAAAATAATAAAACTTTTTAATTTTTTTGTGCACCGTCTTTCATTTCGATGTAAATATTTTTCTTTTTACTTTATCAACTGGCAAATGTAATTTGACATGGACGAAAAAAGCAGTGCTGCCAAATTTTTTTCAAACATTGTAACCAGTTCGCCAGAATACCAATTTCAATTTCGGGTGTTAAAGAAAAGTAACAAAATTTTCTTTACCGGTAACAGTGAAAATAAGCCTGTTAAATAAAAAATTTAACATGAAATAAAGCTCCTCATAAAAAAGCCGCTTAGTATAGACGCAAACCACAAAAAACACACATTGAAAGAAGACCTCGGCCGAACATCGCTTTAGCGGTTAAAAAGGGCCAATTATATATACAGGGTGCTCCATCTTTTATGTCGGTATGTAAACGCTGAATAAATTTCACATTTACCAATCGAGCGATTGCATCAGATATGTTCTGGAAACGCCAATTCAGTACAATTTCTGCCATGGATCGCTTCACACCGAAACAACGAGCTGAAATAGTGATACTTTACATCGAAAACAGTCGTTCCAAAGTGTGTTAACTCAACGTGTATATCGGAAAAAATATCGCGATAAGAAGGCACCATCTGACAGATCACCTGATTGAACCCCCTCAGGACTTTTTTTGTGGGGTTATCTGAAAAGCAAGGTTTACGCCAACCAACCTCAAACTATTGATGAGCTCGAGGCAAACATTCGTGCTGCGACGCTATAACATCCGAAATGCTCGGAAAGGTAATGGCAAACGCAGAAAAAAGTAGTAATTTTGTAATTGTTAAGAAAGATATCCACTTGATTGGTATTGTTTTCAAAAGGTAGCCAAAAAAATTGTAAGGAATCAAACTAAATAAAAATACATCACTTATAGCAATCGATTGTTTTTCTCAAAGTTAATCAATGTTTACATACCGACATACAAGTTGAAGCACCCTGTACATATATATTTGTAAATATATATACATATATATAAGCAAGCCTACATTGGGAACACTTGTACCGATTAGAATAAAAGAAACTATCGATTTTTGGTTTTATCAAAATTTGGCAGCAAGGGCCATTCATTTTTCGGTTTCAAAAAAATAAACATAAATTCCTTTTTTTTCAATATAAAGTTTGAAACTTGGCATTATATGTGAAACATTGCATTATCTTCAAATGACCAGTTATCTAATTTTCGCAAACTTCGATCCGTTCCATCACTTTTTGGCCATATTGTTCGATATCTCAGCCAAACCTTGACGAATGTTGGATTTTAAGCGCTCAAGAACTAACGCTTTATTCGCCTAAACGCAGTCTTTCATGTAGCATCACAAATAAAAAAAACTAGCGGTGTAAATCGCACGGTGGCCAATTGAAATTTCTCTCACAACAATGTCATATTCGCCCGATCGTCTATTTCAGGCCAATAAAGTCGGTTATAGTTATCAACTATCAAGACCGCCGGTTCTATCCGAAAAATCGCCGTCCACTGCTTGTTGGTCAACTGGATTCTGCTGTTTTGTGACTTAGACTTTATATGAATGTCGGTTTAAGTCTGTCGACAAACTGACTGGACCTGATCAGTGTGGTAAGCCAACCATGCGCCAAATTTTGGAAAATATAAAATTTTATCCACCATCAAGTTGAAGAAATCACTCACTAAAACCTCATTTGGTACCGAATGGCTCGTAGAGGTCCTTCCCAATTCTGACTGCGCTCCTGGTGTTGTCCAGCGTCAGCTTACACAGCCGTATAAGTTTTGCGGGTATACCAAATTCAGACATAGCGGCGTTAAGCCAGCTCTTTACTGTGCTGTCGAAAGTTTTAAAATCGATGAAAAGGCGAAGTGAATCGATTCTTTTCTAAGACTTGGCGCATGGTGAATACCTAGCCAATCGTTCATTTACCAGGTCTTAAGTCACACTGATAAGATCCAATCGGTTTGTTGATGTTGAGCGTTAGTCTTTTATCTAATCTTTTCTCACGGGTCTTTTCTAAATGCAATTCTTAGCAGGCTAATCCCACGGTTATAAGCGCAGATTGTGGGGCCCCTTTTTTTAGATTGGGCAGAGCGCACTTAGGTTCCAATTGCCGGACAAACTATGGTCCGACCATATTCTTATTTTTCATCGTCATCGATTGGGGTTTCGAGTTGCCCATCACCAGGTGTTCCATTTTCATTTCCATTTAGCAGACCGCAGAAGTGTTTCCTTCATAAATTTAGTATACTCGGTATACTCAGGGTATTTGTCGCTAGATCATATCTCTGGGCTTCGGTCTTGAAACCTTCCGTAAGTCGCCATATCTTTTCTTAAAATTTTCGGGAGTCACTCTTGTCGAACAGTTTTCGAAGCTTTTAATATCCACGCATTTCGGCCCCTTCTTTTGGTCTGCAAATGTGTCTTGCTTCACCTATCAGCCCTCTTATTGTGGTCGGTCGCAAAATTGTTTCCGTAGCGGCGGTACGTAGAGAATTTGAGATGTCGTTCATCAACTCCCCTATATCGAGTTGCGATGAACGCTCCCAGAAAACAAGTGCACAAGTCAACCGGTTCCTCGGTTTTTTGTGATTTCAGCATTTCCTTCCTCAATTTATTGACGGGCGTTCTTTGATACACAGAGGCGGGTGCGTATATTTGGTGCGACAAGATAGTGATCCGAATCGATGTTAGGTTAAGCAAGACTTTTCTTCTGTCGGAACATAGGCGCAAATCAGCGATATGTTGGAAAATTTGCTTAGATGCGGATTGTGGCGAGACGTTCATCCAACGGAATGAATACCAGTACTTGTACCATTACACTTCTTTGGCGGCGGCTGGCGGTGGTGTCAAACGGTGCTTTCAAACGGATGTTTGTTTGATATTCAAAGGAATTTTGACCTAATCGACTTTGATATTCCGGGTGTGTCGGCATTTCATAGGATACCCATACACCCGGCCATCCCGTCCTGTCGGGTTAGACAGTGATTTGACTGGGACAGAAAGCTTGCTTGCATCAGAGAATAGGTTGTCAGTTTATGATGTATCACCAGGTGACGAATCCCCATATTAGGTTCCCAGTATGAGAGATCTCCGGAATCGGCTAGCGTAGACAGGTACGCCACTTCGGTTAGGAAATTAAGGCCGACTTTCACGATGCGTTCAGCCGAGATGATAAGGATCAATAAGCTTTGTTGAAATTGACTTATGCTCGGTGATCCGCGAAAATAAAATCAGTAAACCTGTCCATTAGGAAAATTATGAACAAATGGCCTGCATAGGGGCCATGATACAAAAAATTAATTCAGTTTCATTCAATTCAAAAGTTATGTCATATGGTGTAATATAGGATTATTCAATGAATTTTCCAACAACAATATAAATTAAAATGTTAAATTTTTTATTTTATCTCTTTTTGTTTTTTTTTCAAAAAAATTCTCAAATTCTGGTAATATTAAAATGAAAAAAAATGAAAACTTAACATTCATTTAAGGGGAGAACCTGGTTTAGAGGGTGAAAAAAATCGATTTTTTTAAACTTATCTCATTCGATTAGAAATATATTCAGAAATATTTCCACAAAATTTCAGAGTCGAATTCCTAATCGTTCCGCAGAAAAGGCCTCTGAGAGACAATGCGCTCAGGAGAGTGATAAGCGGGCGCGAGAACTTTGAACTCGATTTTCTCGAAACAGTGTTTTTCTGTTTTGTGCACACGATTAGCCTTTTACAGCTAATAGTGCAGGTTTCTATGTAAACCTAAAATATCACAATAAAAAATTTTTTTTATTAACTTTTTTCAATAAATTATCTTAAAATTTCTTCAGAAAAACGCAAATTTTTTTGTAAACAGTCATAAAATAAATAATTGTATACATTTCTTCGAATATCTTAGGTTCACATAGAAGAGCAACTCCAAAGCTACAAAAAAAAAAGTATTCGTTTTTATGTTCCAGATGAAAACAACGATCGCTATCGTCTTCACAAAATAGATTCTTCGAGCGAGAAGCGCCACAAGCAAGTACGAATTGTTATTATCTGACCTATTCAAAAGTACTTGAAACATTTCATACGTAAGGCAACCTAAATCCCTGTGCCGAATATCATGCAATTTTCAGCGTTCCGAACCAGCTTCCCCCCTTAAGTAGAATTTGATTTATTTATGTTAATAATTAATTATATAAGCCAGACTAATTTATTTTTATTTACAAAACACTTCAGCACATTGAATCTTAACAATGTAAAGAATAAAATAAAATTTACTTAAAATTTACTTTTTTCAGTTTTAGCGCATTTATCGGTCGTATGACCTTTTTCCGCTCTTCGCGGTGTTTCTTCATCAAATACTCGCGTTTTTTCTCATCTTTCGTGGGCTTCTTTTTCAGATCGAATGTCATTTGTCGATTGCCAAGCGAGCGTCCAATGGTAGAAACATTAGCGCTAGTGGCCTCATTAAATCGGATACGATCTTTTAGACTTATTTTCATTATTTTATTACGCATTTCACTTAATTTAAAGTTATTGTCCTCTAACGCTGTCATTTGAACGCTACCCTTAGCAGTTTGCTTATGTTGCAGCAAGGTAGTCGTATTAGACATTTTATTATCCTGCTCATTATCACTGTTATCCATTCCATCATCTTCGTGCTCATTTTCTGCAGCTTCTTCCTCCGCTTCGCGTTGCTTTCTAACATCTTTGTAGGCTTTCTTCATTTCTTTCGCAAAATCACGCATACCTTCATCGTCTGAAGATTCTTCACCAGCAGATTTTTCACTATCAACATCACTCTTTTCGAAGCCGAAAAGATCCTCATCGTTGTCACTCTCCTCATGCGGTTTCGCCTCGTCTGCATGCAGTTCGGCAACTCGTGCGACCTCAACGCGTTTTTTAATATCCTTGAGTTTAGACTTTTCGAGGCGATTCAACACAGGTGCCAACAATTTATACTCCTCCGCACCCTTATTAATAGCGAATTCCGGATTTTCGAACATTGCTTTGAAACGTGTATCATTGAGAAGATTGGGTGTTTTTGCTGCTTTCGCGGCATTGCTTTGTTCGTCCATAATTTTAAGTGCCAGTTCTTGATTGACTTTGGGAAGATTTGATTTAATTTGTAGACGTGATTTGCGTTCACTTTCGATTTCTTTACGTATTTTCTCTTTACGGAAGCGTTCGAATGCAAATGGATCAGCCGCAGATTTAGCTTTATTATACAAACGTGCATCCATGAAATAGCTGAAAATATGCGCAAGATTTTATGATCAACACAAATTCTTACAATTTTTAAGAAATTTTTATTTTCTTACCCATGCATGTAGCCTTTCAATAGATTGCTGCCAATCAAGTGGTCCAAACCCAATTCGGCCAATTCCTTTTGCGTCACAAACTGGTAATCGTCGTACATGTTTTCCACTACCTCAGATTCAATATCTTCTGTTAGGTTATCTAAGAATGAACACCAACGTGGTGCCGGACCCATTGAGGGTACGTAGTAAGTTAGCATTTTGACATCTTCTTGTGCAAGGAAGAACATACCCGTATCGGGTATTGTACAAAAATCATTGAAAGATGTAGTGGATTCGATATACGCAACTTGTTTGCCCTGAAAATGTGTAAAACGTAAATAATTTACAACTGTTTAATTTTACTTTAAATTATTCTTACCGTATTTTCATCCCACAACTTTAACATTGCATCATCCAGAGAATACACTGTCTGATGACTGGGATTGAAAGCTATGCGCTTTACTGCCACCTTATTTAAATGATCTTTAATTAAAAGCGGATCGCGTGAACGTATATCATAGAGCAAGACATGCCCTGAAGCTGTGCCAACGCCCATTTGTAAACCATTTTTAAATTTCATTGCTGATACTGAAGGAAACGTCTTAGAGCCGGGCAATTTGATAGCGACGTCTAGTGTGCCTACACGCGTTTTACTACGTGGATCCCAAGACTCTACAATGCCCTCTTTGCTGCCAACCATGAGTAATTGGTGTTCAGGATTTATATCACATGCGTTTATGCAACTGGCTTCCGTTTCATATGGCTGCAAGAACTGGCCCCTCTCTAAGTTTAAACGATAAATGTCACGAGTTGTGCCCACAATGAAGAGATCACAAGTTGGTTTATGGTACTTCATATCACGTCCAAAGCGTGGTATACGCAAACGGTAATGACGCCCAGAAGCAGAATGTATTTCTACAAAACGATCACATTGCAGAAAGACCTATATATACGCACAAATTTATGTATATAAGTAAAATAAGAACTTTATTTATTTATTTTTTTTTTATTCCTTCGGCTTACCAATTTACTGTAATCATCGCTAATTGCTTCAAATGTTGTGACCTCCGAGTCAAAACAACGTTCGAATTTTATAGATAAATTACATACTTCAAAGCATTTAACGCGTGGTTTATAAGTACCAGTTGCCAAAATGTACTGCTGATCTGGACTCATGCGTATCGAGGTACAAACGCCGGGCATATCAAAATCTTGTATCAGCTCTATTTGTCGACGGGAATCAACCTTTTTCATCAACTGGGAACGCTTTCGGCGATCTGTAAGCCACTAAATAAAGAAGATATAATTTTCTTAAAATTTGTATTTGACTAAACATTTTAATTTGTACTTACTTCTGGCACAGATTTTCCAGCGCTTAAATTGTATATTTTCACATCATTCACTTCGTTGACAAACATCTTTATTTCATGCTTTATTAATAAAACTAAAAATTATTAAACTTCTAGGGCTAGGCAAAAATGTAAACACACGGAGATAACAACAAACTGAGAAGTGCACGTGTGATCGAGATTAAATGCCAAAAATATACGTCATTCACAATGAAGTAAGCAGCTTAAGATTGAAATACTCGTGCATTAAATATAAACAAAACCACATATTCATCTATATAACATGCATAATTTTCAACGATTTTGCAATAAAAACGTTGTCTAATATATTTAATTGTAGTAGCTCACAAGTCAAAGAATACATCGTATCAAAGAACGTATATTAATATACGTTCTTTGGTTTGAACCCGGTTACTGATAGCCCGAGTTCCTAATTATATGAGAGCGGTAACCCAGGCCGAAAACGAAAAAACCAAAAAAATAGCGAGTGAAGTGCAGTGCGGAAGAAAACAGAAGATTATGGAAAATTGAGCATAATAATCGTGTGTAAATTTATCAATTTTGGAAAATCACCAAAGAAAATTGTCTGCAATAGAAAACAAGAATGCTTTGACGGGAGCAAACGTGAAGGCTTAGAAATATTTCAATAAAGTGTTTAAAAAAACACATAATAAGATAGAAGGAAAAAATTTACGAAAGAGAAACGTAATTAGCAAAAAGTTACAACTACAAAAAGTACAAATTGAATTATTCGTCATCATCAATAATTTTCTTAAAAAAAAAAACGATAAATAATTATATATACGCATTTGTTAATCAGGCTTTATACATTATAATATATTGTGGTTATCAGTTGTGGTGGTTTAAAATCAAAAAGGCCAAGGTATCACCAAATGTACTTGCAAAAAACAACAAAGGAATAAATCATTAAATCAACACGGCCGCAGATTCTATACTGTAAAACGTAATTACACACAGTACAGCGTTTACACGCAAAGGAAATAATTTACATTCATAATAGGTGCTGAATACAATAGGGGGTGAGTGGAGCTGGTCGGGTATACATATATTATTTTTACATACGCATATAGTGTTTATCTATTATTCTTTAGTTTTTACTATATTTAGTAGAAATGCTGTAATTGGATTCGTGATTTTTGTAAATGTAAGGATATAACTATTCAGATACTAAACACTGCCAAAAACTTAAGCCTTGCATTTTAGACCGAAAATAGGGCGGCCTATGGCAATGTATTAGAAATAGTTGGCGATAATTGTTTACACACGCTAAGTCCCTATCAGTTCTTTATCTTTTGCTTAAAATATAGTAAACAAAACATTTGATATTAAATACTTTATATGCATATGAAAGTTTTGTATGTCTAGTATGACGAAATAAATATATATTTTTGTGCTTCTTAACTGAAAATTTGTGTAACCTTTTAAATTCGCCCATCCCTTATATCCGTTTTAAATTTCCTTTTTGTCATATTGATTTTCAACCGATGCTGTGTGGCATACATAACAGCTCTTGGCGTAATTAACATTTGTGTGTACTTATATACATGCATGTAAAATACATGTACTTACATTTGTATTTGAAAGTTAATGTCCACATGAATGTGCATTTATGTAAATATGAATATAATCTTCGAATATTGCATTGTAGAAAATATTTTAAAATAATTTATTGCTGTAGGAGTGTGTATGTAAATACATTACTTATGTTTATAGTCTTGTAACACAGTTGGTTACATGTGAAGTAATGAAACTAGTTTTTTTTTTTAATAAAAATCTAACATAAAGGTGCCTACTTATATTCAAGTAAATTTATATTCTTTCTTTTTTTTTTGTCCAAGTCTCTCTTTGACGCCTGTAATTAATGTATTTTTTTTTTTTTTTTTTTGAGGCTAACTAAAATTACCTACATATGTATACACTTATCACTGCAAATGACATATTTTTCATGCGGTTACGAATTTATTTAATCAATTTGAATATATGTATGTACATACATTCATACTCAACAGTTCAATTACACCCACCAAAAATGTGATAACGAAAAGCATAGTAAACGGCATTACCATATTACCGCTAACAAACATGGCAAGTCAACCTAAACTTCTTGGCTTCGCTAGCTTAAAGTGAGCCTTATTACTATTATTTTGCTTTCCTACATACGTACTTACATACTTACGTGTATGTGCATTTGATTCAACTTAAAAGCCAACCAATTCAAATGGGCAATGGGAAATTGTGTTATTAAAGCTTTAACTTTAGTTTTACCTTCAACGGAAGTGCATATGTACATATAAAAAGCAGTAAACGAAATTAAATTTAATATTTAAAAAAATAAAAATATAAATTCATTCATTTTTATTAAAAAAGAAATGTTGTCCTTATTAGAGACATTTGCAAATAATATTGATTGTTTCTTAGAAACGTGTATGTAGTCATGAATCAAACCTTGTAACCATAGCGAATTTGGTAGTCATTAAGCTTTATTGTTTCCATTCATTCTATTCCCTAGATCCAAAGATGTCGTCCGCACCTTACAACTACAACTATATCTTTAAGTATATAATCATCGGTGATATGGGTGTAGGAAAGTCATGCTTGCTGCATCAGTTCACAGAGAAGAAATGTAAGTAACAGCTAACACATAACGATTTTTTACAACCGTATTTATACATATATATATATACATATACACACACACACACATATATATATAAATATGTGATTATATAATATATCATTTATCTCACAGTCATGGCAAATTGTCCACACACAATTGGCGTAGAGTTCGGCACACGTATCATCGAGGTAGACGATAAAAAAATCAAATTGCAAATTTGGGACACAGCAGGACAGGAACGTTTTCGCGCCGTGACACGTTCATATTACCGTGGTGCTGCTGGTGCCCTTATGGTTTATGACATTACCAGAAGGTAAATAGAAAACAACTTATTTTTTTTTTTTTTACTGCTTTCACATACATATGTATATTTGTATATGTATTTTAATTTGTATTTTATAGATCCACTTATAATCATCTCAGCAGTTGGCTAACTGATACACGTAATCTCACAAATCCCAATACTGTGATCTTTTTAATTGGCAATAAATCAGATCTTGAAAGTACACGCGAAGTGACCTATGAAGAGGCCAAAGAGTTTGCCGATGAAAATGGTTTAATGTTTTTGGAAGCGAGCGCTATGAGGTAAATTAATATACGTTGTTTCTACCATAAAAAAATGCCAAATATATACATACATACATATATACTTACGAATTTTATTCTATTGGGTTATTGTTTTTAGTGGTCAAAATGTTGAAGAAGCTTTTCTCGAAACTGCACGTAAAATATATCAAAATATACAAGAAGGTCGTCTGGATTTGAATGCTTCGGAATCGGGCGTACAACATCGACCTTCACAACCGGGTCGAACTTCGCTAACAAACGAAGCACCAAATACGAAAGATCAATGCTCATGTTAAATACGTATTTTTTTTTTTTGTTCTCTCCATATGCACGTTGTAATTTTTTTCAATTTTTATGTATGTATGTATCATAAAATAATTTTCTTCCCTCCTCCGTTTTAATAATAAGTTTAATTATAACGATAAAAAATGATATGTAAATTCATACAAGTTGCTATTAACTAAGTAAAAGAAAAATGCATATACTTATATATTAAAGTGATAATTATTGTAAAATATATACAATACATTTACGTTTAAAAATTAAAAAAAAAAGAAAATAAACGTAATATCGGACAAATTGTAACGAAGTATGTGCAGAATTTCCTGCAAATTTGCAATGCACGCAATGAGAAAATAAGTAATTGTTTAAAATAAAAGAAAGATATTAACACGTATTTACGCGTCATAAGCAACTCCATCAATTTCAATAAACATTGATACATATATATGTGTATAAGTTTAGGCATCTATTTGAAATTCAAATAATTATATATGGACATATTACGGATTCCTTTCGAGTATATGTATGGCGCAGTATATTTGATATTTTCACAATCGTTATATATATATATATATATGTATACTATATGCATATTTAAGGAAAACATAATGTTTGTAAGGTAATCCAGTAAAATGTAGCATGGAAATGTAACGTAGGTGTAAAAATTGTCTGTAACTTTTAGCCAAATGAGTTAGTAAATTAAAAATAGTGAAATTGTACAAGTAAAAATTCAAATTATTTATTGATTACACAGTCAAGTTTATTTTATTTTTTTTTTTTTTCTAATTTTTGGCACAATTCTCGAAAGCATTTGAAAACATGATCATGGGTTTAAAAGATTCACAAAATGGTAAATGTGTTCTTCTAACAAAATTGAAAACAAATTACTTGCATTTTTTAGAAAATAATTAATATGAACTATTCAACGAATATGAAATTAAATTTAAAAAATTTTTCAAAACTCTTCAGATTATCCACCTTCAATGATCCGCCCAAAAACAGCATCCTACCTCTTTTTTTTCAAATTATCGACACGTGAAAGTAAATTCGGTGAAAATGTAGTATCTGATATCAAACAAAAAGATTAGATATTTTTCATGTTGTTGTTGTAGCGGTAAATACTTTTCACCTAAACTATTAAAATTTCTAAATATGGCTAAAACCTACTATGTTTTTTTGAGCAATAGCATAAAGCTTGAATTTTTAAAATTTATCAAATTGTTTTTTTTTTTGATTTTTCTCATTTACTTTTATTTTTATAATGACTTTTTTTGTCCCCCAGTATTAGTAAACACTATCCTCAAATATTTTACGTCTCAATATTACACTGAAATATACATAAATAAAAACTGGCTATTTAAAATTGAATTTTAAAATTTTTTTAAACAGATATCTAAGTATGTGTGTACAATAGTAGAAGTATCAAGCAACTTATACATTTTATCGAAAAAGTACCATTTTTTAGTAAAGCATTAGACTATGCGTATGTAAAAAAAAAAAAATACAAAATAAAATGGTATTCTTAAATCACTTAAAAAAAACCGTAGTTTAAATTATATAAATGGGAAATATACATCATTACATACACTTCAATTCACGTTTTTTGCAATTTTTATTTCAGCTATGCGTTAATTTTACACAATTTGTCTTCTATGCTTACAAAACTTACAAAAACAAAGTTATAGGAAGCTTAATACGTGCAGACAACAGTTAACTTTACATATTGCATTCGCTTCATTTGTAAAAAAATTAATGCAAACGAAATACTTGGTAAACTTTTAACAATATAGTACAATTTATAACTGTAAATCACAAAAAAAAAGCAGCAAAAAAGTTGTTAATTAAAGATAAAAATTTAAAACCTTTTAGCCCTTCTTAGCATTGTTTAGATATTCCTAATGTTAAAAAAAAAAATTTATTAACATAACTTATTTTCAGTTTCTTAATAAACACAAAATGTTAACTAATTTCTTTACTCTAAGTTTTAAAAACATATTTTTTTCAATAATAAAAATGATCTGCAGTTATGAAGTGCACTATATATGTACATATATCTACGAGTATTTATGATTAAGTTTTACCTTATATCTTATATATGTATGTATATATTTGTATAATAACTATATTGCTGCTGTGAATATCAGTCTAAAATTCCAGATTGCACAACTAGTGGCGCCTGACATGTTATGGTTTAGTTTGTATGTGCGTGTTTCGCATAATTGTTTTACAGTTTTCTCCCATTAACGTAATTCCCTTACTTTCATTTTGCGCAATTCTCACGATGTTTCCTCCACCTTAACAATATCCCATGCACTGGCATCGTCTTTTGAACATAAATCCAATACAATGCGCGCCCCTACGAGTGCTCCTTTAGCGCGCATACAAGTGCCTGCGGCCATATTATAGATTGGACTGTGTTCGTTGCGAGTGTGACGCCACTGTTGGTCGCCTAACATTTCATGACATTTATTTATGTGCACCTGTGCATCACCGTACGACTCTAAACAAAGTAATTTGTCTAAAACTATTTCAGCTTTGTCTGTTTCATACCATATTTGATTGCGTGTACGCATGCAGGTTTGTAACATTATTGGACTGCCTTTTTTGAGAAAACCCTTTACTTTTGGCGCCACAACAGAAGCACATAAATTTGTGCCCGTCAAGCGCATCATATATGTAGCAATGTAGTTACGTTTCCTTGAATGCCAGGGTTGGTAAACACCTGCTGCAGACGCTGTCTTTTTCGTTTCCTGACCGGGTAGCTGCATTTCGGGATAGACATTTTTCATGTACCATGCGAAGTCATGACATTTTAGACGCTGGCGTAGCTCAACACGTGCAGATATATCGCCATAATCCATGTCGCGTGCAGAATTTGTTTCTTTCAGGAAATATTCTTTATAGTCATCCATCCATACGTGTGCTGCACGTAAAGAGTTGCGTTTCATTGTATCCTTGCCATCAGGCGCTGAATAGGGGCGACGTTTACGAAAAATGTGTCCTACACGCGAGCAAGGATATATCTTTATAGATCCGTGACACTGCCAGACACGGAAAGATATTTCAATATTCTCACCACCCCAAATATCCATGCCTTCATCATACTCGCCAATGTATTTGAAATACTGTCGATTAACGGCAAATAAACCGCCAGCCATTGTAGGAGTTTTGAATGGCCCTTTAAAGTCTTCATCCTTTTTTAATGTGCCTTTCGGCAAAGTAATCCACTTGTAATGCAAACCCCAATTGAAACCGCCACGTACTAGAGGACTAGAACTATATTCAAAGGTATCAGGACTTATCAGATCCATAACTGGTACTGCAATAGTTGAATTTTCTTGTTTCACAGCGCGCACAAGCGGTTCAGCCCACTGTTGATTAACTTCTATGTGTGAGTCCAGAAAAACGAGTACTTCACCTTCCGCAGCATGCGCGCCAGCAATTCTGGAACGTATCAAGCCCTCGCGTTTTTCATTTCGTATATATTGCAATCGGTCATAATGTAGTTGGGCATGTAAATCGCTTAACAGATGAAATTCTAATTCAGGCAGATCGCTAAAGTCATCTACCAGTATAATTTCCTTTAATATATGTGCTGGAGTACGTTTAATTACAGAGTTAATTGAACGTATAAGTGTCATTTTATGTTCATTATAAAAACACATGATCACTGATATTGTCGGTAGAATTTCATTTGGACCGGTGGGTTCTCGAGGACAAATTTTATGACGTGTATCAGGTATCTCCCTGTAAGGACCAATATTGTTTGAAATGAGTGCATTAAAGGCGTGATTTTTAAAACCTATATCTCGTATATATTTGTCTTTCCTGTCTCGTATCACACCGAGCATTTTTAAAGGTTCCATAACTTCCTGCGTTTCACCTTTTTCTTGCTGCTCTCCTTTACAGCATTCTTTTACGCGTGCTGCGAATGAGTACTGTGGATTTGGAGTACGTGTATCGTTCGCACTGGGCAAATTCCAACCAGCGTCCACCATGGATTTGTACTCATAGTGGTACAAGCAAGCCGTAAATATTATAAATGTTATTACTGAAGTGATTAATATGCTCAAACTGCAGCGCCGCAGAAAACACCTTCTCAACATTTTTCACTGTCCCTATTGCATTGGCAAACGTGGAAGGTATTTTTAAGACTTGAGCTGCTCGGAAGTCGCTGGTTACTCAATGACGGTAATGCAAAACAAGATCTTGTTAATTTATGCATAAATTAAATATTTCAACATTTTCTTGTTCACAGACAACTTTACTCTTTTTGTTTATTAATTAAGAAATCTAATTTGATTCGCAATAGTAAACAAGTTGAGATGCAATTGTGAATGACTAGTAAACTGTGTCCTTCGCTTGGTACTGTGGGCAAAGAACGAATATTAGTGCTATGTCTACTATGTACAAGTAATAAACACATTAATTCGAAAAGTTCCGCTCAGAAGGGGAATCTAAAAAAGTTGCAGGAATGTAAAATATATTTAAAGATCCATAGATCGACATAAATAAAATCAATCTTTCATATCTATAAGTTTCAACTGCTCCAATATTAAAAAAGTAATCGCTTAAACTTTTGCTTGACTATCAGGAATCTTTGACGGTTGTTCAGCAAATATGTGTGAATTGAGTACCCATGAAGTGAATGATATTGGCAATGTCTTTATTTTCTTGTAGCTTGCGAAGATATCGAGCTTATATTTATTGATTCAGGCAACATATCTTTCATAACATAAAAGTTCAATACTTACTATTATTATTATTATTGCAATTTTGGATTTGCGTTGTAATGTTTCTCCAACAAGTGGAGGGACCTACAGTTTATACTAATAATTAATTTCAGGCTTGAAATACTCTCGGAAGGGTTGATACTCCTTGTCGACCGGCGACCGAAATAAGAAAAGTTAACTTAAATTTTAATTTAATGCATGTAGTTTGGGACAGATATCGATCCAAGACTTTTCGAGTGACACTTCAGCACTATTGTGACCTCCTGATAACTATATTAAAAAAGAAGCATTTGTAAGTGGGCGCAATTTAGATAAAAGCTGAAATTTTAAATATTAAAATTTATAATATGGAAGTAATAAATGCCAATAGACAAGAACCGCAATTAAATCTAGGTTAGTAAGTTAACAACAAAAACATCAAATTTCTAAAATTTTGCTATTCTTCGCAGACATTAATGGCCAACGAAGCTTCGTGAAATACCATGCCAAATTGGAGGAAGTAAGTTATTAAACACAATTTCCTATATATTATTTGTTAATCCCAAATTTGTAATTCCTAGAAACCAACAACGACAGTGCGATTCTTTGACCGTACTGACTTTTATTCTGTTCACGGCGCAGATGATTGCGAATTAATCGCAAAGCTAGTTTACAAGTCGACTGCATTTGTGCATCAACTTTTGCCTGATGAACCAGACAAGCTTAGCTATGTTACATTATCAAAAGCAAATTTCAATATGGCTGTACGTGAACTACTGCTTGTGCGAAATTTTCGTGTCGAAGTTTATGTGCGCCCAGGTGGAGCTTCAACTACAAGTAATAACTGGTGCCTTGAATACCGTGGTTCGCCGGGAAATTTAATACAATTTGAAGAAATACTATTTGGTAACAAAGAAATACTTGTGAGCAATAATTTGTTATCTTTGCAAGTACGTTTGGTTGATGGTAACCAGCGACGGTTGGGTGTCGCATTTGTCGAGCAGAACGATTGTCAGTTTCATGTATTAGAGTTTGTTGACAATGATTTCTTCACTGAACTAGAAGCAATAGTGGTATTATTGGGACCAAAAGAATGTCTATTACCTTCATTAGATGGGGAGGTATGTTTTGTATTTCTCAAATATTATTTAACGGTAATTGCTAATATAATTATTTTGGCTTCTTGCTTGCTCGTAGTACATTGCGGTGAAAAATCTATTAGAGCGTAACAATGTAGGTGTTACAATACCAAAGCGATCAGCGGCAACACCTGCGGAGAAAAATGACTTATTGCAAGATTTAAATCGCTTGATACGTTTTGCAAAAGGGCAACAGGAGGACGCCTTAACGTTTCCAGAAATGCAATTGACCATGGCTATGGAAGCGCTACGGGTGGCAATCAAATATCTGAATCTAACCAACGATGCTAGTAATTTGGGGCATTATGAAATTAAACAGCTTAATCTAAAACGGTAAGGTACAAATACAGACATGCGTCACAGAAGGCATAAACGAATGTATACATTAATACTGGGTTTTTTACAGTTTTGTACACTTGGATTCGGCAGCAGTAGCCGCCCTTAATATTCTACCTAAACCGGGCACACATCCCAACTCACCAGGCTATCACTGGCAAAGTATACTAGGGGTGCTCGATCATTGTCGCACTCCACAAGGTCATCGTCTGCTTGCCCAATGGATTAAACAACCACTCCGTAGTATTGAAATTCTCAATGATCGTCATGACATTGTGCAATGCCTTTTGGAATCGCCCGGAACACTGAGCACACTTCATGATGACTACCTCAAACGTATACCTGATGTACTAATGTTGACCAAGCGTCTGTTGCGTCAAAAAGCAACCATGCAGGATCTATTTCGCGTTTATCAAGTTGTTTTACGTACGCCACGCATAGTCAACACGCTATTAAGTCTCGAAAATGCCACAGTGAAAAATGTATTATGCAATGCAATGAAAAGCTTCTTAGAAGACTTGTCTGGCTTAAAGCAGTTAGTGGAACAGGTGGTAGATTTTGAAGCAATTGAAGCGGGTGATTATCTTGTAAAGGCGTCTTTTGATGAAAATTTGCAAGACATGAAAAACGATATGTCACGTCTATTAAGCAAAATGGAGCGTTTACAGCAAAAAGCTGCCGATGACTTGAATATGGAAAAAACTCAAGTACGATTGGATAATGTTGCGAAAATTGGCTATCACCTTCGAGTTACATTAAAAGATGATTCGGCGTTACGTAAAAATAAAAATTATAAAATTCTTGATGTAGTTAAAGGTGGTGTACGTTTTACCAACGAAAAGCTTTCCGAATATAGCGAAGAGTACAGTAGTTTGTGTGAAAAATATGAAGAGCAGCAAAAGTCGGTTGTTGAAGAAATCATAAAAGTAGCCAATGGCTATGCGGCAACACTTTGTTCTTTGAATAACGAATTGGCACAATTGGATTGCTTAGTGAGTTTTGCTATTGCTGCATTAGCAGCTCCCACACCTTATGTGCGGCCGAAAATGCATAAGGAGGGCACAGGTGTGCTGATGTTAAAGGATTTGCGTCATCCTTGCTTGGAATTGCAGGAACATGTAACATTTATTGCAAATAGTGTGGCTTTTGAAAAAGGTATTAATGATAAATTAAATATGAGCTATTAGAAATAAGTTGAACATAATTCTTAGATGCTTGCAATATGTTCATCATTACTGGTCCCAATATGGGCGGTAAAAGTACCTATATACGTTCCGTTGGTACAGCTGTCTTAATGGCACATGTTGGTGCTTTTGTACCATGTAGTGAGGCTACTATCACCATGGTTGATTCGATATTGGGCCGTGTAGGCGCTAGTGATAACATCGTTAAAGGTTTGAGCACCTTTATGGTGGAAATGATCGAAACTTCAGGTATTGTACGGGTAAGCGATAGGTGTTCAATAGATGATGGACGCATTGATATGTATATATAAATATTTTTCATTGACAGACTGCTACCGAAAATTCGCTAGTAATTATAGATGAGCTGGGTCGTGGCACATCAACTTACGAGGGTTGTGGTATAGCCTGGTCCATAGCAGAGTAAGTTTTAAGATTATTATTCGTTTGAGTTTATTTTGCTTACATATATTCCTTTAATTTTGCAGACATTTAGCCAAACAAACGAAGTGCTTCACGCTCTTCGCCACACATTTCCACGAGATTACTAATCTCGCTGAAACAGTGCCAACGGTCAAAAATTGCCATATGGCCGCTGTGGCTGATGCCGAAAATTTCACACTTTTATATCAAGTACGCCCTGGTATTATGGAGAAAAGTTTTGGAATACAAGTTGCACGCTTAGCCAATTTCCCAGATGTTGTCGTTCAAACAGCCCAACGTATTTATAGCGAGTTTGAAGATGAATATACCGAGAAACAGAGTCAAAGTGATAAAGAATTGTTGGACAAAATTGATGCAGCTTTGGAGCGCCTAACAACAACCGGCAATGATGTTGATATCAATGAGGCGGAGTTGAGTGAATTGGTTGCAACGTTTGCAAAAGATATTAAAAATCTCGACAGCGAGTATTTCCGTGCTCTACGGTCGGTTGAATAAAAGCATATGGTGGAAAAGACATCAAACCTATTCGATGTTACACTTCACGTTCAGTATTTCTAAAGTTTTTATAAATTCGAATAAAACGCGCGTTATATGAGTTAAAGAATAGTTTTTAAAATTCAAATAAAAATGTGAATTTATGTATATTGTAGTTTTTCACTTTGTAGCTAGAGGAAATTCGGGTTGTAGAAAGCTAATTCTTTGTTATAGTTTAATAAACTATGGAGCGTGCTTCTGATGTAGCTCGTACAAGAGGAGATTTAATTACTACTCTAGCCACATAATCTGGTGGAGACGGAGAGAACAAAGCAAAGTTTTCTTCAGATAAAACAATAATAATAAGTTTACAGATTTTACTTAAAAATGATTTATTAATTACTAAATGTTTTTTATTTAGAGAGATATCAAAGGAAAGCCTACGTAACAACAAAGAGGAATAGGTTCCGGATGGTCTAAAATATATATATAGGATTTACGGAAAACCGTGTTGAGTAATGGGTAACCGGTAATGCCTTTAAAATTTGTAGTCGCTAATTTCAAACAGCTGATAAAGACTATTGTGAATAACTTTAATAATCAGAAGCAGAGTCAGATCATTTACTGACTTCTCCGAGCGAAAATAAATAAATTGTAGCCAAAACCAAAGGAGAATTTAAATTAAATACAATATAGCATTAGAAAAAAAGTATCATTTTCATTATTTCAATTAATGAAATGTAAGTGTATTGCATGGGATAAACTAAAAAAAAGTGTGTAAACAAGACGTTTGTTTGTGTTATTTTTAGAAACTTGCAAACCCATATATAACGAAATTTATCATGGCTTTGCTACGACAGTGTGGCGCTGCTCTAGGTCGCCAATATGTTGTGCAGCAGATGATGCTTAAATCGTTAATTATTGGTGGAGGCCAGCGTAGTGCACAGCTGTTGCTTCAACCAAAAATTCTAGCTACGCCAAATAATTCTGGAGCTGTGCGTGGCTACAAAAAGTTTGGTCACAAAGATGAGCCCACACCACGTATAACGAAGTATTTTCATGCTTTCGTTGGTACCTTGTTTATTCTAACTTTGTTGGATTGGAAGAAGTGTGTATTTCATAACAAATATACATTACACGAAATTTTAAAATTCAATATTATTTTTTTTAGAATTAAGCGTGCTATTTTGCCTAAGGTAGATGCAGATGCTCCAAAACCAAAAGATATACCTGATAAGACCAAAGTAAAAAACAATGAAGACGGTGATACCGAAGAATCTGATAGCGACGAGCCCGCAATTTGTAAAACCAAACGCGGTCCGCAGGACAAAATGGGTTTCCGCGAGCGCAAGGTATAAATTTGGTAGAAAATAGATTTTTTCTAATAAATCATTTTCAAATCTATTGTAAATAATTTTCAGTTTAACGACTTTTTTCTTTATTAGCACTAGCTTATATTACATATTGAGGCTATATCTTTGCATATATTTGGTAGATTTTGTTGCTGATTATTTTTATAATTGTAATTAAATTTCTTTTAATTTCATGTTCCTGTGTTTGAATTGCTATGAACCTCTTTGTTATCCACATACACGTACAATATGCACAAACCATGTAAATGATTTTGATTATTATACATTAATGCACTTTATTTGCAAAAAAAAAAAAAAATTAAATGGAAAATACAAAAATTTATCACACAATGAAGATCATTGAGTATGAAAATCGTATACGCGCCTATTCAACACCGGATAAAATCTTTCGCTATTTCGCTACAGTACGTCTTACTACCCCTACAAGCTCGGAAGTCTGCATGACTCCTGACGATTTTCTTCGTTCAATTTATCCCGGCCTAATGCAACCAGAGGGTATGTTTCGTTTGGCGATATAATTATTTGAACATTTTAGAATAATGGTATGAATTCATGTAGTAAACCTTTCGCACAACAGTCGGCCCCGTATAAAATGTACATACATATAAATATAAGTTTTCCTACATGATTTTAATAAGTTGATTACTATTCTTTGCTTCTTTTCACTGTGTTCTTATGCGACAGTAATTTTCTTTAAAAACCTTCCTAAAACTTGTGGTTTCAACACAATAAATTAATATAAATTATGCGCATAAATAATATTCTGCATTTCATGTCTGGTCAGATCATCGAATATGAAAATCGTATACGTCAATTTTCTACACCTGATAAGGTATTTCGTTACTTTGCCACTATACAAGTGCCAACAGCAGATGATCGCTATGAGATTTTTATGACACCACAAGATTTTCTAACTAGTATGACGCCAGGCATGAAGCAACCAGAGGGTAGGTTGTGTAATGATATTTGTAAGCACAAAGATAATTTAATATTAAACGAGCAAACTTTTTGTAATATTTTGCGAAATTTAATTGTGATTTTTGTTTGTTTTTCTCCTCCAATAGGTTTGGGACTAGATCAATATCGCCGATATGATCCGAAGGTATGTAATTTTTCGTCGATAAAATTTTTAAGGAAATTTGGGAAAAATAAAATCTAATAAAAAATTTTGAAACATAATGAATAATAAATAATAATATTAAAAAAATAAATAAGCAAAAAAAATATTATGACGAAAACTAAAAACATGAAATAAAAAAAATAAAATTTTTATAAAAATAAAAAAAAAATTAATTAAAATAAAAAAATTAATAAGAATAAAAAAAATTTAGTAACAAAAAAAATAATAAAAAATTTAGTATTTCTTGTATTGCAATATCAAAAAATATAAAAAAATGTAATGCAAAAACAAAATAAAAAAAATAAAAAAATGTCATCAAAAAAATATAATAAAAAAATATAATACAAAAGATATAATAAAGAAAGTAAATAAAAAAATTTAATAAAAAAAATATAATAAAGAATTATAGTAAAAAATATAATAAAAAAATAAAGAAATATAAAAAAGAATAGAAAATATAAAAAATAAATTCAAAGTAAAAAGTTATATAAATATGAACATTTAATATAATAATAAAATAAACTAAGAATATGAAAAGTAAGAAATAAAATAACAAATAAAATAGGAATTAAATATTATAAAATATAAATAGCAATAAGAAATTAGACATAAATTCAGAATTAAATAAAAAAAATTAACGATAAATAAAAAATGAATAAAAAAGGAAAAAATTAAAAAACTAATAAATATGTAAAAATAAAAAAATTAATTTCATAAAAAGATAAATTAAAATATAAAATATCAAGAATACGAAATAATAAAGATTTAATAAATTTGAAATTAAAACAAAACTAATAAAAAACTAAATAAGATAAAACATTAAATAAATAAAATGAGGTAAGAGAAAAGTCAAGATAAAAAAATTAAAGAAAGATATAAAAAAAGTTTAATAAAGAAATAATATATAAAAAAAATTATATAAAATATATTTACCAAAAATATAAAAAAATTAGATAAAAAAATAAAAATTTTAAAAATATAAAAAATATAAGAAATATAAAAAATAAAAAACATTAAAGAAAATAAAATAAAAATAAAATTAAAACAAAAAAATTTAATATAGAACAAATTTTAAAACTATATATATGAAAATATAAGAAATATAAAAAACTAAACAAAAATATAAAATAAAACTAGAAATATAGAAAGTAAATAATATGAAAAGTAAGAAATAAACAAAATATAAAATAAAAATGGAAAATAAAACTAATAACCAAATAATATAAAATAAAAGAGAAAAAGTAAGAGAAGAATAAAGTTTAAAATAAATAAACTGAGAAAAATAATTAAATATAAAATAATATAAGAAAATAAAAGAAAATAAAAATACAAAGTAAGAAAAAAATACAATAAGAAATTAAATAAAACATGAAAATTTTTTCTTAATTTAATATAAAAATGTATTAGGAAATATTAAAAAAATTAAAAGATATTAAAAATAAATTAAAAGATATTAAAAAAATTAAAAGATATTAAAAAAAAATTAAATGATATTAAAAAAATTAAAAGATATTAAAAAAAAATTAAATGATATTAAAAAAATTAAAAGATATTAAAAAAAAAATTAAAAGATATTAGAAAAAATAAAAAAAAGATATTAACAAAAATTAAAAAAGATATTAAAAAAAAAATAAAAAAGATGTTAAAAAAGATATTAATAAAAAAAATAAAAAAGATATAAAAACAATTAAAAAGATATTAAAAAAAATTAGAAGATACTAAAACAAAGATTAAAAGATATTAAAACAAAGATTAAAAGATATTAAAACAAAGATTAAAAGATATTAAAAAAAAATTAAAGGATATTAAAAAAAATTAAAAGATATTAAAAAATTTAATGTTTTTTTTATATTTTTTTTTTAAACTAAAAAATATAATAAAAAATAAAAAAATATATATAAAAAAAAAATAAAAAAAATATAAAAAAAAAATAAAAAAAATAAAACATAAAAAAATATAAAAAAATTAAAAAAATAAAAACATATAAAAAAATATAATAAAATATAAAAAAAAATAAAAGAATATAAAAATATAAAAAAATATAAACAATTAAAAAAATATAAAATAAAAATAAAAAATATAAAACAAAAAGTAAGAAAATATAAAATTACAAATAAAAAGTGAGAAAATATAACGTAAAAAAATATAAAAGATTAAATACAAAAATTTGAAATAAAAAGTAAGAAAAAAATAAAAACTAAAGAAAGCATTGAAAATAAATAAGCGTTATAAAAAGTAAAATAAAACAATAAAATGAAACCAAATAAAAATAAGAAATATAATAAAATAAATATAGAAATAAAATAATAAACAAAAAAATTAGTAAATAACTAAATATAATATAAAACATGAAATGAAAAATTTAAAGAAAGAAATAATAAAATGAATAAATAACACAATGAAATATAATAAAAAATAAAATAAAATAAGGTGAAATGAAACTAAATAAAGTAAAATAAAAAAAATATTATATAATTATATATTATATAATTAATATTATATAATTAATTAAACTAAATAAAGTAAAATAAAATTAAATACAATTATATAAAAAATATTATATAATTAAAATAGTTTTTAGTAAATAAAGGAGTATAAGTATTAACGGCTTCTGAATAATAAAGGAGGAAAATATTAAAACAATAAAATTAGAAATAGAACAAAAGTGAAAAAAGATAAAAATATTAAAGTAAAAATTATAAAAAAAATATTATAAATTACATATAAAAGCATCCTATAAAAATAATATTTGAAGATAAGTTTGATAATTAAAATAAAAATGTGAAATGAAATATATTTTTGCATAGAAACAATTATGTATTAAACCGTAACTACTCTCTGTAAACATTGTTTTTAAAACCATTTAATGCCTTATTTTCGCAAAAACTATTTATCCATAATTTCCTTCCCAATTCTAATATCACCAAATCCTTCTTTCTCCATACTACCTACAAAACATGCTCTCTACTTACAGGTTGCAGGCGAGGTATTTGTTGACAAAAGAAAATAAAAAACATTATTAATAGTATATAAACAAAAAAATAACGATAATACATTGGCAGTAATTGTGTGATTAAACGAATGCTATATGTACCCTATAAAAATTTTGTATACAATATTCCCTTACACGAGCTTAAAACTATATGTTTTCTTTGCATGTAGCACAAAATAGCAGCGTGTTTGACAAATTTTTACTGACCTCATAAGATGTTCTTTAATAACAAATATCTTATTGATTTATAATATTAGTTAATGTTACAGCACTAAACCAATTGCTTACGACACCTGAATGTATTTTAACTGGAAAAATTTACGCTGTACCAAAGTAATTTTTAATTTGTTTGCCAGAAAATGCCCTTAACATGCCTTTAACATGCCCAAACATTTTTTTTTGTTTACATTTAACCTTAAAAACTACATAAATGATATTTTGTGCTGTTCGTAAATTAACATGTTTTGAAATGTGTTATATATTTTTCATATTTTAATACCACTTCATTTTATAAAATTGTTTTAAAACGATTTTTCTATACTTAGGATGTCGCAGAATGCTTGAAATTGCATTTGGCTAAGGATAGTATATTTTATAAATTGGGTTCGTACGGCCTAATTACATTTTCCGATTACATATTCTTGTTGACTGTGCTATCAAGTGAGTGTATCGTGAAATTGTACATAAAAAGTTGCTATTTACTAATAGTTTTTTTAACACATTTTTATTTCAGCCTCTCGTCGACATTTTGAAATCGCTTTCCAAATGTTCGATCTGAATGGTGATGGTGATGTGGATAGTGAAGAATTTGAAATGGTTGCCGATTTGGTGCGTCAGCAGACAACAATCGGCAGCAGACATCGAGATCATGCTGCTACCGGCAATACATTCAAAGTAAGTAGGCGTATAAAAAATATTTTAAATTTTATGTATGTAGTTTAAAATGTTTGGGGAAAAAAAACAACAACGTAGATTTGTGTGCTAAGTGCTCGTTTTATATACATACATTTTACTTTATGATAATGAAATCTAATATTTGTATATAAATTTTTATTTTTCAAACCCTCTAACTGTCGATTATACTAAATGTAAATTGTATTTTCTGTATCTTTGCTCTTTCGTGTATGTCTTGTAAATAACGACTAATGCAAATCTACCACACCATCACAAAAAACCACCACTTTCAACCACCAACCACCTTAACTAACAAATCTAACTTGTCTAATTAAAAAAAAAATAATAATATCTAATCTTTTACCTACTAAAAACAAAGCCCATGAAGGTATATTCTCTAAGCTAAATTGTATACTTTTGCCTAACTTATTTATAACTCACCTTACTTTCTTTTAAATTTCATCTTTTCGCATTTTTTTCTCTCGCTTTATGTGAAAATAACATTGCCTACTTTTGTCCTCACTTAACTCACAGCTTCATTCTTGTCTTAATAACAGTATTTTTCAGTTTTAACTCATTTGCACGTATTCAAATCATAAAACAATCTTTCATACCATTGGCTTTTGTTTACTTTACTCAGCTTCCCTATGTATTTCTTTACTCAAATAACTTTGAATTTCCACCATCTCCGCCTTTCCCTGACAGGGTGTAAACTCCGCTTTGACACATTATTTCTTCGGGCCGAATCTGGATCAAAAATTGACCATACAAAAGTTTATACACTTTCAAACGCAATTGCAACGTGAAATTCTCACACTGGAATTTGAGCGTAAACGTCCGAATAGTGAGGGTCTCATTACTGAGGTGGACTTCGCTGAGCTGCTTGTGGCCTATGGGGGGTATTCGCATAAAAAGAAGTCGCGCAAATTGAAGCGTGTCAAGCGTAAATTCAAAGAGAACAATTTGGGCATCTCTAAAAAGGATTATCTTGATTTCTTTCACTTTTTAAATAACATCAATGATGTGGACACCGCATTGACATTCTATCATATTGCGGGCGCTTCGATTGATCAAGCAACGCTTAAACATGTGGCTAAAACAGTGGCTATGGTGGATCTACGGGATCATGTAATTGATGTTATATTCACCATTTTCGATGAAGACAGTGAGTAAAAATCAAAAAAATTAAAATTCAATTTAAATAATAACATTCACAAATTTTTTTTGTATTAAACTCTTACAGACGATAATCAGTTGAGTAATCGTGAATTTGTTGCCGTTATGAAGAATCGCTTGCAACGTGGTTTGGAAAAGTCAAAGGATACGGGTTTCATTAAAATGATGCGTTCGATGTTGAAATGTGCCAAGGAGACAAAGCCAGTGCTTTTGGATTTGTAGATGGGCCAGGGAATGAAGAGCTAGTTAATTACTCCACGACTGTTTGTTCTAAGAACGCTGACTTTTAGTTAAATTATATATGCATAATTGTTATTCACCTATGTATGTACGCATATGTATGTGCATTTCCTATTTGGTAGAAACGACATATTTACTCGAATTTGCCAAAAACTTTTTGCAATGCATATAATATAACCTAGAAATATTTGAGTTAATTTATTTGATTTGTTAAATAATAAAAGTTCAATTATGAAACTATCGTGTATTCATTTTTCCTACATCTCCTATCTCCGAATCTGAAGTAGTGCAAAAATGTCGAAAAATAAAAAAGTATATTCAGAGAAGAGTCTCAAAATTTAGCATCCTTGCTGAAATATACCAAATGTGCAGAAGCTGGGTTGTTGTATTGGTTCGCCAACCCCGCTTAGGCAAAGGTTTGATCAATCTAAGTCGCCGAGGTCATCTACTTGGAGGTCCAGGAAACGAGCTGTATCGACGGGGTTGGACCAGAGGGAAACAGGGGTTCGATGAGTTGGCTGTATTGGGTAGGAGTTTGATCTGCTACAATATCCAGATGTAAGTTGTGCCAGTATTTCGCGGGACTCTGGAGGCAGCTCGAGCCCTTCTTTTGCAGTAGGTGGGGGTTTGTCTCCGAGACCATTCACAGTCGCCTGCCGATAAATCGCTGCTGTTGTTGTTGTAACCGTAAGATATTCCCCAAATTAGTTTTCGGAGAACTTGGTGCAAGTGACAGTCCTTGGCCGGATAAGAATCCAAGTCGTTCCGTTATAAAGTTCTGATTGTCGTGGGAACTATGTCGGTAAGTCGTTATGTCCCACGGTTATTGTAGGTGGTGCTGACTGCAGTCCTCAAGGTCCAGTACTCTCTTTCTAATGTGCTTGGGTGGTGGTTCAGCATCTAGTAAGTGTTTGTTAGCGGTGTTTTGGCAGGCGTGTAGCTTCGGTACTTAAGCATGTGAAGCCTTCTCTTTAAGGGATTCCACAAGCTTCACTATGGACTATCTCCGAGTCTATTTTTTTAAGAGCTTTTTTACAGAATGTTAACGAATGCTAAGATTCCTCGATCCACTCAAGTAGTTCTTTTCTCCGGCTTACCCTTCTTTGCATATTGAAGCTTTAACGTGGCCGGCAGGGTTTTGCTGGCATGCAAGTTATGCTAGGATTAATTGTTTATCGAAAGCAGGTAGTTCCGGCTACCATCTTTCTTACCGGACCTGAAGCTTATGAAGTAAAAACACATAACCTTACCTGCATACCCAGAAATTTGACTACACCCCATTACACCTTCCGCATCGACTTTATATATTCTCACAGGAAAAACTCTAAAGACGTGATTTTACAAGATCTTAGCGGCCAAGTGTTCGCTAAATAAATCCATTGATTGATGCGATGTGTGTAGAAAGAGGTGCCGTGTTGAAACCAAATGTCGCCGAGATCACGAGCGTCAATTTCAGGCAACAAAAAGTCGGTTATCATAGCGCGGTAACGGTCGCTATTAACGGTTACGTATTCATCGGCCTCATTTTTGAAGAAACATGAACCACCGGCCCGCAAACCACACCAAACCGTTGCTTTTTCTGAATGAAATGCTGCTCTACGTCCAAAATGCGACATATTTGCTAACTCATTGAACTAAAAATTAGCTTCATCGCAAAAGTCGTTTGGGAAGGTCGAGCGGCTTCAGTTCTTACATAAACAACATTTTGAACGTTTTCAGTTTTGGCTTTTGACGTAAAATGCGCCAATCGTTCCAAACGTCAGTCGAAGTTACTGCGAATGGCTCCGAATCGACTCTCCACAGTCTTCGTGTACACTTTCAGCCACGGCCGCTATATTTTTTATTGCGTGCTGGACGTGGTCTATTCGGACGTATATTATCCAATGCTGATTTCCAAGATGGGTGATGGTGTTGCGAATTGTACGCTCAGTATGCCGATTATATTGACCATAATAAAGTTGAATGATTTGTAAACGTTATTCGGGCGTAAATCTTTCCATAATGGGATTCCAAACAATGCTGAATAAATTTTCAGTCAACTCCCCTTCTTAATTTGTGGTGTGGTGGGCATATTGAGGGTTTTCCTTTAAATAAAGGTGCCAATCAGTTTGAGCTAACCTGACTCCGAACGAATAATGAGCTTGGAGGTGTTTATATATTTACTCTTATAATATATAACGTTATCCAATTCCGCGCTGCAAATTTACAGGGCTGTATTTTGACATCTGTCAAACTTAACATGTTTTGTTTTAGTTAAAAGTATTTCTTGATAATCTTAAGAAGTGGGGCTTTCTTTTGGTACATTAAAGCGTATTTGGTACTTGGACTTTCATCTACATCCTTAGAAAGTCCAGCTCACATCACAAATGAAGCCAGATGACCATTCACATCGCCTTATATTATTCGAACGTTGATTGGGGGCTTGCACAACAGCATTTCACAGTGATTTTTCGAACAAACTTTGCTTCAGCGACGAAGCACATTTCCCTCTAGCCGGATACGTAAATAAACAAAATTTGCCACATTTGAAGCTCCGAGAATTTCAAACTAATTGAAGAGACCCCAATTCTTCTTTTTATTTATTGGCATTGCCACTGTTTGCGGGTTATAGCCGAATCCATATTAGCACGACATTCACCTCCTATTTTCGCTGTTGGCTGCCAGTAGGAAATACCAATGGAGTGGAGGTTTCTCTCCTTCTTATATCCTCTTTTTGCAGATTGTACCTTTTCCATTCTGCAGCGCTCGTATTATTTTCTGCAGCAATAAAGGAAGGCATCACCTTGTCTAATGGAGATTTTAGTGTTGCTTAACGTCAGTTTACAGAGCCGTAAGCCGTTTTTGACGTTATTCCTTTGAAAACGACAACCGCGAGACTGTCGCTGTCATTTCTGGGCGATAAGGCCGTATGACTTTTTTTGGACTGATTTGAAAAACAAAACTTGGACACTACATACTCAAAAAGATGGTGCCACATGCCACACAATACGAGCAAGAGAAACTTCCCGGTTATGTAAGCTCTCGTCTTGGCAATCCCAATTGGCCACCGAGATCGTGCGATTTGATACCGCTGGACTTCTTTTTTGGTGGGGTAACTCTTGAGCCCTAGGTGTGCCCCAGTGTAATGGCCAAAAAAAGTGATTTTTTTTGAATTTTTATTAAAAAATATTTACTCTATCAATTATTTCAAAATTTTAGGAATATTTTTATATATAATATGTTTCAAGATAATACAATGAAATTTTTGAACGAAAAAATGTAATATTTTTAAGTTATAGTCGATCTCTAACGGCGCGAAAGAAAGGTCCTTCACTGCTGCAGTGATTCCGGCCTTCTCCGTGGATGAAATCTAAAAAAAAAATTCTCTACTAGATAATATTGTCTGTACAACGACCTACGATAAAAAAATTAAAAATTGACAATGGCGGTTTTAAAAAAAAATAGTCGAATTTTACCTGAATTTTTGGCCGTTTTTGGCCTGCCAAAATTCGATTTTTTGATCAGATCAAAAATCGATAGGTCATTGTACGGAGAACAATATATAGCAAATTCGGAAAATGCTGTTTCGAAAAAAAAGGCGTTTAAAGATAAAATGTTCGTTTTCACTCGTAGCTAATGAGATTCTCTGGCTGCAGAGCGACTGCTCTTTAAATTGCTATAAATCAAAAACTATTTGAGATATCGATTTGAAATTTTAATATGTTATCTTTTAAGGGTGTAATCTACCGCAATAATTTGAAAAAGATCGATTTTTTTGAAATTTCACACTAGGTGTGACACTTAAAAATCAAGACTCGTCAAGTTATGGCTGAGATACCGCGCGATACTTGCGCCAAGAAGTGGTCGCAAACAGTCTCAAAGGGATCAAAGTTTGCAAAAATGTCTCACACATAATGTCTGGTTCAGACTTCACTTTATAATAAAAAGAACGTTTACTGCAAAACTAATAACCTTCTATATCGCAACGACTGTCGTTCATTCAAAGAATCGGAGATATTTTTGCAAAATTGAAATTTATTTTTATACTTGTTTTCTTTATTTATATTTTTAAAAACGGTTTAATCGGTTTACACTGTTTATTTGTGAAAAAAAAAATCCACAGTTCACAGATTTTCGCCGTGTCATTTAATTATTTGCTTACGAGTTATTGAAAAGAAAGTAAAATGAAAAACTCAACGTTGTTAATTTACATATTTAGTGTACATTCATAATGATTTTTGTTTGAAATAAATTTTATAATAATATTTCTTTTTACATACATATATAGTTTAATCAACTATTTTTCACTTGTGTATCTTTTTCTTTTTTTTTACAAATTAATTTGGTAACTTTGTTGGTCAAATAATAATAATTTCTTGATCTTCATTTAAATTTTCAAAATATTTAGTTTTTAGTTACATATCCCTCTCTCATAATATAACTACATATACATATATATATATATATATATATATATGTTTATAGTTTTGGTTTTCTCATTTATAATAAATATTTCTCTCCCATTTGACTACACTTAATGATCGTAAGAAATTCATATAAATATAATTTACGATTTTAAAAATTTATTTTTAAATTTAAAGGCAATCTGTTGAATGAATGAATGAAGAATTCATCATAATTTTTTTCCCCCCTTCTCAGCTAGTTTTAGTATTTTATTTTATACATTTTTTCTTTTTACAATATTATCAATTAAATATTTAGGACGACAATGTTGCTGCGAGAGTTTTAACCCTATAACGCTTAGCGCTACAAAGTTATACTGTTGCATTTTTAATTAGCTTACACACAATTATATATAATTTATTTATGTGGCTGTACATGAAACAAGTGTTTTGTTTTGTTTTTTTTTTTTATCAATTTTCCTAAATTTACAATTATGAATTTTAATAAATTATTATTTTTTTTATTTATTCTTTAAGAACTTAGTTTATACATAATTAAATATATTTATATGCGTTTCAATATTTATATATTTTAAATAAATTGTATAATGGTAGAATTAAAGGAAGAATATTTGGTATTATTTTATAATATAAGCTTTTCAAATATTTAATTTTTGCTAACCTAGCTGAGAATTGCAAATGAAAATGTGAAACTTTTTGTGGGCTAAAGGGTATGCTTCCTCATATATGATGGGCTGTAGATATATGCACTTGCATCACTATGTTTAATTAATTAAAATATATTTACTTGACTCGCAAAAAAAAAAATAATAATAATCGAAAGAACTTATGAATTTTTTTTATTAAGTCTCTTTGCTGGAAGCGTACTCGAATGGCCGAAACAAAAAACTATACCTAAAGCAGTAACGGCAGGGCTTAATGCAAAAGCAACAACTTCACTTTCAGCTTGTTTTCCTGATGGGTTATAAATCAACTTGGATTTTATTATATTTGCATGGGTATTCATTAAAAAGGTATGTTCGTGCGTACACGTATGTGGTGGCGAAATAAAAATTTAGTTAAGACTCTGTCCCAACAATTTTCTCAATAAGGCACAACAAATATTATTTAGAGATTTGTTTTTTTAAAAATCTTAAGATTATTGAAACAGTACAAAAAGTAAAAGTTTTTCCAATAAGAGGTGTAATTTCAATATTCCCTTAAAAGGTCGATGATTTTGTTGCTTGTGTAGTATGTAACGACGATTTGTTGAAAGTAAAGCTTATCCAGATCAATAATCATCAAAGTTCGGCCAAAAAAATTAGCAATCACCTCCTTTCACCGTAACTGCGATAGCCCCAGTTTTGGAAAATAAGGTCCAAGGGCTCAGCAGGACTAAAAATCACACCATAGTTACACGTTGAGCATGGAAAGGCTTGTTTTTTCCGAGCCTCGGATGCGACAATTTTGCTTATTGACGTAGCCACCGAGGTGGAAATAGGCTTCATCAGTGAAGTCGATTTTGAAATGAAATTTTCGTTGTGAATTTTCATAACTTCAATGCGGTTTTGAAGAGTTTATCGTTCCATTTTTATTACTGGCGTAGTTTTTACTCATTAAATGTCAAAAAATTATAGCTTCAAAAAAGACATCTACCGGAATAGCAGGCTATTCTTATAGAAAACCCTTTACCCTATAGAGTACACGGTATACCATACTGCCCTAACAGCAAAAAAGAAATCGCCGCAAAATGCCCTACACATAGTAGGAAGCTAGTGCAATCCAGCTGGATATTAATCCAGCGGCAACTGAAATGGTTTCCTGTTAAACCATCCAAATTAAAAGGCATGGACATCATTTTCTCTCCTTCTCTGCCGTAGTCAAATATCTGGGGACTATCTTAGGCAACAAACTTAACTCGAACAGAAATACGGCGGAAAGGTCGAGAAAAGCTAACAATGCATCACTGCCTTCAACGCATGCAAAGCGACTTTTGGTAGTAAAGAGGAGTCACCGATAGAGCTAGACTTCATCAGAAGCACTGGAAACTCTTTTCAATCTCTTGCCCTTTACTCTATGAGAGGATAGGCTGTGGTATTCATTCACCAACTCTCTCAACCAATTTTAATTTCAGGCTACCGGACTACTGCACCGTCTTCCAAACAGAAAAGAAAACTTGTGGCAATCACGAAAGGTTAAAGAAAGGTTGCTAGGATATCGAGATAATCAAGCTGCCAATCAGATCTCTTCAATATAATTATACCACATCGGCTGTGATCTGGTTGACCGGACATAGAAAGCCGAAGCAACTGTGTGACGAATAAGCCCTCTTGCTACCTCATAACCTCTCCAATTACAAACAATCCTACACCAGTTGTGGGTATAACTCTATCTACCTCCTCATTGAAACTGGCTTTCACCAAAATAGCCTACACCGGATGGCTTAACGAACGAATTTGGAACATGAATAGAGAACTTTAGCTTGTTTTGGACCCTAAAATATTAAAAAATCGGATCCTTTCCCCATCAATATAACTACTGGGGTATATTAACTCGACCATGACTGATGGGACTTCACGGTAAGATAAGGCGAAATTTTGCGAATGGTTTTTGTCGAAGCTGCAAAGGTAGGCACTATACGAAAAAAATATTTGATTGCCTGGTTAACGTAGCAACAATCGCATCGCTCATAAGGTAAACGAAATGGTTCTGAGAAGTTGAGAAGTGCTCTGAAGCGATGTCACAATGCGCCTTCAGGGCTTAGTGCGCTATTCGCTCTGATCAGGAGCGGCACCAACTCAACTGAACTGCTCACCTAAAAATAGATTAGAAAGTACGAGTAATAAATATTTGGAAGTTCTCTTGAATTTCGAAAGTTGAAGATTGAAGTAGCTCATTCATACCACAAGAGGTATGAGGACGCCTGAAGAGGGTGTCTTATCTCCACTGCTTCGGTGCCTCATAGTGAACACACTGATTCGGCAACTGGGTGGTATAAGTTATGAGCCCCTGACGTGATAGCATACGCCGACGATACTGCCCCAATAGCAACCAAAACTCCAAAATGCCCTACACATAGTAGGAAACTGGTGCAACACAGCTGGGGTGTCAATCCAGCGAAAAACGAAATAGTTCTTTTTTTTCAAGGAGTTATAAACCACTGTACCTTTTGAACAACACAAACTAAACGGCATGGAAATCACTCGCTCTCTCTGCGCAAGTCTAATATGGGGGGGTTATCTTATACAACAAACTTCAAGGAAATTTATCACTCATACAAATCACCTATTGGTAAGAGATGGACCTAAAACAGTTTACTGTTCATTGGATTTATACAGCGGTAGTTAGACTTATTCTATATTATGGGTTAACCCAAAAAAAAAGCACTTTCCGGAGCAAACTGAACAGAGTTCAGCGTGTGGCAGCTGTGTTTATTAAAGGAGATCTGCTGGCGACTTCAACGCAAGCCCTGAAAACTCTTTTCTATTTTCTTTCGTTCGATATGTTCGATGAACTTCAAATGAGCCGCAATATTATAAGACCGAGCGCGGCTCATCCTTGGATACATCACACAGTTGGACTACGCCATCTCCATTTACTGCTTTGACATTCTCTTTTCCACAAGATATCTGATCATAAAACAATGAGAAAATACAAATACTTTGGATCAGAGTAACATAGACAGACATGCCGATACGAGCCAATGTGGAACGGACTCGAAGACTCCCAGGGACATCGTCCACGCTTCTGCATCATAGAGTAGGACGGGAATAATGCGTGACTTGTAGAGTTTGGTTATGGTTCTTAGAGAAAGAACTTTACTTTTCAGTGAAAAGTAGTATCTGTTGGCAACAGTTATTCTGCGTTGGGTTTCTTGGCTGACATTATTATTGGTGTTAATAATGGTTCCAAGATAGATCAGATTACCTGCGACTTCAAGTTTATGGCTGTCAATAATAACTTAAGAGCCAAGTCGTAAATGCGCCGACTGTTTATTTGATGACAGAGAATATTTCGTCTTGTACCCGTTCACTGCCAAACACATTCGCTTCGCTTTTTTTGTCAAGTTTGGAAAAGTCAAAACTAACGGTGCGGTCGTTAACTCCTATGATATAACACGAAAATCAGGAATGTTTTTGACTGCCATTCCTGACCTGACAGTGGCCTGAAATAATTCCTTTACATATGGTTCAAGCAGTTTACGGCTTAAGGTCTTAGACCTAGTGTCTTCTGTGAAGCCAACAAATTTCGCTTGGAGGCGAGCTTAAGTGGGAAGACAAATTTCACTGCGGTTGTGTGTAGAGTTTGGAACGCCTCAGATGAAACATATACTTCGATAAAATAATAACAAAAAGCCTCGGATGAGAGACCGACTTTTTGTAACCCATCAATACGCACACCACAAATAGACGGTTAATATTGTATATGTGGATAATGTGCTTGAGCTATATATAATATATATATATAAATTTAATTAACTTATTTTGTTAATAAATTTTCATAAAAGGCAAAAGAAAGAAAATCTTATGAAACTATTACATCATATATACATAAGTGATGTTAAAATTTTTCATTAAAGAGTCAGCTTTTTCTTTTTCCCAACTCAAAAAGTTAAAAACCTTAAGAGTTTTCAGAAAATCAACCGCTTTCCTTGCATACTCCCACCTTGCGTAGTATTTGATGTTTTTGTTTTTCTGTTTCACAAGTTCATATTTTGCAATTCTCACCGCCTTTATACAACGACTTGAAGTCTAAAAAAAAATAACTATGGATGCAAAATAGGCAGGTCTCGGTTTGTTGTTCATATTTGGTGGTATTAGAAACAATATTGGATTCATATATAGAATACAAAACAATTTTTTCCCCTCCTTAAAATATACATACACATCATATATATGCATATATACGTGTATATACATAAGTATGGTACATTAATACATAAAGATTCACAAGTATATGATGGCATATAGTAACTCTATATATTGTATATGTAATAAATTAACAGTAACAAAGTAGAAAGTATTTACGTCTCTTAATTACATAACCTTAGTAACCGTTCCTTTAATTTATTCTATACTCCTTCTTTTAACTAATTTTTGTAAAAATTTGTTGGGTTTTTGATTTCTTTTTGTTTAGCTGTTAACTTGAAGGCTAAGCCTCATAAATCAACGAATTCGACTAGGGTGTACGTACATACATAACATTTTATAAAATTCTATCAAAATTTAACCAAATTTTATTTAATTTATTTATATATAACTTTTTATTTGTTTTGTTTTGTTTTTTGTTTTTTGTTTATTTTTTTTTAACTTTTGTTTTTTTTTTACTTAATATTTCTTTTGTGCTTCTTTGGCAAATACGTTTTACATTGTCTGAAACAAATTCTCTTTGTTTTTGTTGTTGCTTTTGTTTGTGTTTTTGCTTTTGTTATGCTTGTGAATTATTCTTTCACTTAAAGTTTACATTAGAAATGTGCGTATGTGTGTATGTGTGCATGTGTGTGCGTGTGGTGTGAAAATGTGCCTCATATATGTATATATGTAAAGGTTGTGGTTGTGTGTATGTTTGTTTGTTTTTTTATTCAAAATGATTTTTAAAAAATTTCAGTTTTCGTCTGTTAAAAACTTGATTATCGTCGGAAAGCAGAAGATGAAAAGTTAACTTCGGTTTCAAATATTTAGTCCTACATTCATACATACAATACATAAGTACAAGACAAGTGTATACAGTAAAAAAACTAAACAGTTTTTAGCCAGTTTTTCCAGCAATTTTTTTCTACTATTTTCATTTGCATTTTATTTTTGGTTTGTTTTATTTTATTTTTTATTTTTTTCTTCGTTTTTATATAACTATTTCTTTTAAATAATTTTTGTTTGTTTTTAGTAATTTTGTTCATTTTTTTCTTTTGGCGTTTCCGTTGTAAGTCTACATGGTATTTCACATAAGAGAGAACGCTAGGAGCATTTATAGTCGTCATCAATATATTTAGTAAAGAGGATTGTGCTAAATTGTTTGTGTCATTAAATTACTCGTACAATGCATTTCGTCTCTTAATTTCTTTTTTGCTATAGGGTACTTTTGTTTTTATTTTTTGTTTTGTTTCTTTTTTTATTTTCATCTTTAAAAATTTGTAAATACACATAAGTACATATACTTTCGTTCGATAGTCTCGTGAATAAATAAATAAATAAATAAAATAATTTATTACTATTTACAAAGTTTTAAGTGCGTAAATAGCGCGTTAATAAAAATATAAATATGGCCATAAAAATATTTACAATGTCCAAACGTAGGGCTGTCGCATCGCCACAATATGTATATTTTTCCTCCTGCAGAGAAAGAATGATATTTTTTACAGTAAAATATATGTAAAACTTATAAAAATAAAAAAAAAAAATTAAAAAAATAATTTAATAAATAAATAATTGAGTACAGGTGCACCAAAATTACAGTTTATATAATATATAATTGGCGCTTTGTAACCACTGTAGCGCTTTTTCGGCCGAACTCCTCTTCCAATTTGTGGTTTTGCGTCATGATGTTTTTCCAACAAGTAGTTGGCTTGATGGCTTTTTTTATGATGAGCTTTCATTTCATGTCCGAAATACACTCGGAGGGGTTGACATTCCCTGCCAAGGACAATTAGAAATTTTTTATTGAAATTAATTTTCCATAACTTTTGGTTGTTGGCGGCATCGGTATATGAGCCCGAGCTTTCCAAATGACAGTACGCAATGCTAACCACTCGGCTACGGCGGCCGCCAAAATTACAGTTTAGGCTCAGTAAAAATGGATAGAAAAAAGTGTCTTCATTATTGAACAATATTTCACAAATAATAGAAGCTTATCGGCCGCAGCTCGAAAATTTCATACAAAATATTTTTTTTAATTGTAAACTGTGCAGAGATTAATTAAAAAATTCCGTAAGACAGGATCCATTGCAGATGCCAAAGAAATTGGTCGTCGAAAAGCACGTCATTGAATTGACAATATCCAAACAGTGCATGAGAGGAACCTCAGCTCGGCATAGTGGACAAGAATTGCAAATTTCAAAAAGTTCTCTTCAGCGTCTGGTTGGTTGGTTGGTTGGTTGATGTGGCTGCCGGGCATCGGCACACCTAGGCCCCTAGCGGGCCCGTTGTGATATCACTGCGGATTCCAGACGACTCCATCCACTAATCGAACCTGTGCATGGAGTTTGCGAAACTGAGCAGTTGTCGCATCTTAGCCTCCGCTATCTCGCTCAGATCTCCAAGAGTTGCCGCCCCTAGAGACCTCAGCCTACTCCTCCAAAGTGCGGAGCATCCACAAAGAAAGTACCTCAAAGTTTCCGGTGCTTTTTCCGGTCTGCAACTTCTGCAGAAATCATTAAATGGCACGTCCAATCTCTCAACGTGCCTGCCTAATAATATATGTCCTGTAAGAAGACCTATAAACGTAGACATATCCTTCCTTTTTAGCTCGAAAAGGTCACGTGACTTTCTACTGTTCCATTCTGATCATATAGTCCTGGCCACATTACATGTGTTGAGACTTCTTCATCTTAAGTTGGCATCATTAATGAATAACTCTCTAATATTAAGCTTACAAGTGTTGAGCGGCATGTCCAAACTCTGCCATGATGGCGAAAGTTGTAAGCTCATCCGCCATGTCATTACCTGGTATCTTGCTGTGACCTAGAACTCGGAGAGAACTGCTTAGCCATCATGTTAAGGAATTTGCGGCAGTTTACAATGGTTTTAGATTTTACTATTACAGACGTCAAGGCTTGTAATGCGGCCTGGCTATCCGAGAAAATCTGGATAGGATTATCGGAAAGTACCGCTGATTTGAGACAGTTAACAGCCTCATGTATGGCCACCACTTCTGCCTGAAAGACGCTACAGTGATCCGGTAAGCGAAAGGACTTACAGATACCAAGTTCCTGCGAGTAAAAGTTTACTCTTTTACTCTTCAGCATATGCTCTTTAAAGATCTGTGTCTCCATGCTTACAAAATTCAATCAACATAACAACCGAAGCCTAATGAACACGAACAGCGAAGATAGAGTTTGGAAGTGGTACTGCTGCCCCTGCGGGTCGGTAAGGCATGCCTGTCGTAAGAGGCGACTAAAATCCAATAGTTCCCGCGACAGTCGGGTCTTTATACCGGAACGACCAGGATTTTTATCCGGCCAAGGACTGTCACTCCCGCAATATTCCCCAAAAAGTACTTTGGGGAATATTTTTGCGGTTACAACAACAACAACAACATAGAGTTTGGAACTAAAAAAACTGAAATGGCGACCGATATCCACAGCACTCATCTTTTAAAGTTCACGCAAGTGACCGAAGTTTGTGACTGCCATTCAGCTGGGAGTGGCCAAAAACAATTATGTTACTTATGGTTCAAGCAGCTTACTTTTGCAGGTCTTAGATCAAGTATCTTCTGGCTAGACACAAAAGTATCCATTTGGAGGTGAGCTCAAACAAGAATGCGATTGCCGCTGCATTTGTGCTTAGGATTTGGAACACTGTGCATGAAATCTATACTCCAATAAAGAACAACAAAAATATCTCGGATAAAGGGCTCCCATAATTGGGGCCGGGCCAAGTAGTTGGTGTGTGGTCACATAAAAGAGCTCAAATTTGGTATTGGGAGAATGATTTTGTCGACGAATAATAATTTTTCATCAAAGAACGTATCTTCGGTACTATTGGCAGAAAATTCAGTATCCTTACCGAATCATCCTCAAACAATCTGAGGCTAGTCGACTTCACCGTAGCCCGATATATGATGATTGTCTGTATTACAAGACTTCCGCACATGAAAATTCATCAAGCTATGTAATTGTAACGGTTATCAGATCGAAAAATACGAATACATAGACTCGGACCACTATCTTCCTTCAGTGGTTATACGCATCCACCTTTGTGCACCAAAGGAAACCCGCCAACAAACGCAAAGAAGTTTCGACGTCCAAAAGCTGCAATTGCAACAGACAGTCGACTTGCATTCCTGTTTTCTGAGAGGACTACCAGCAACTCGATATCAGGATACTGTGGAATGGCATCTCAAACTTTCTAGTGTCAGAAAAAGAGTTAATACGATAAGGAATGCTGCAGTGCATTTGCAGAGAAAAAACAAACTGGGATATAATGTGAAGACTTTGAAAATTCACAAAAGGTTTGAATTCAGAGCATGCTCAGCATGTGAAGGAAAATCTTTACACTCGAATTTGCTCAATGCCAGTGAAAGTGCAACACCCGGAGTAGTTGAAGCCGACTCTGACGAAGTTCGAATGGAGACTGATTACTTAAAGAAAAATAGAGCGGCGAGACCCAAGGGCTTTCAATACGTCGACGAAGATTTATTTAGAACCTAAGTAAGTGTGACTTCAGTCCTCTTATATTGGCGAGATATTCCATGTGAGAAAAGAATGGATCCACATAACATTTACATCACTGTCTTCAAAACAAAAAGTAGTTGCAACTATGCCCCTATGTGCGGGAAAAACTTGGATGTACAAGTGGAACAGTTTAAAAAAGTTAAAAAATATGCCCTGGACGAAGCTCCACCTAAGAAAAACCAAAATATAGAATTTGTTCGTGTATCCAATACAACCATTTTCCTGCACGATTATCTTGGCATAACTACGGTCAACGCAAGAAAGGTGCCGAAAATGCCCACGCCACCGCAAAAATAACTGCCGCGTTGCATTGGCTTCCTCCATAAGGTGGGGTTCGATAAACTGAATTACACATCCCATAGACCAGGCCTTGCCCCGACGGATAATGAACTGTTTCAAAGAATAAGAAAAGAGCTGAAGGTAAAAAATTGATCACCGAAGATGAAGGAACGCAGTTTCGGCATTTTTTATGATAGTATGGTAGTGCTCGTTCGTGGAAGCAGAGGAATAAGAAGATCTCCGTTGGTAGATCCAGGTGGAGAGCGACCTGTTTTTACTTTGTATTTCCAATTCGCAGTGAACAGCGAAGAAACGGATGGTGACTTAGTGGTGATTCGCCTATAATGGCTTAAAGAGTTCTTGCGTCAATGAAAAAAATTCATAGATCTTAAAAACTCTTTGCCACACATCACAGCATATTGCATCTGGATAATCACATCATATCTCACTTTGTCACACCTCAGAGAAATCATCACATCACAGCACATATTCTTCATCATATCTCATAAAGCACAAAATATATCACATCACAGCACATCACATCAGAACAATCACATCATATCATATTACACATCACATGATACTTTATCATATCTTGTAAACACATTACATCACATCACATTTGGAAACCAAAGTATGACAATGTCATACCTCAAAGGAATCACAGCATATCATAGCATTATATCGCATCACATCAGGAAAATCGCATCACATCATATTTCATTGTATCTTAAAATCACATTACATCACTTCATATGTGGAAAACCAAATTTTAACATATTTTGCTATTCCTGAGAGGAGTCATAGCATATCGCATCCGAAAAATAAAATCCTACTGCGTAACACCTCATAATATTAATTGCTTTCTCGTATCACATGATACCTGATCATATCTTGTAAACACATTTCATCACATCACATATGGAAACCAAAATCTTACTACTTACCATTCCTCATCACATCTCAAAAAAACATCACATATAGTTTTATATATTAAAAAATTTGAAAAAATCGCATAATAAATAATCGTACATGGCAACTCAATAATCACATCATATCAGACTTTATGATAACTCTGAATCACACCGTTTAGAAATCAAAAATCAAAACTTATTTTATTATCTAACATATGAAAAAGAAAACTATATTAACTCACCTCTGGATGCTGCGTAAAGCATTCCTCCAAACGTCTTCGCTCATAAAAGCTCATATTTAATTTATAACACGGAAATTCTTTATCATATTCTATACGTTCAGGTTCCGTACTCAAACGCATACCTTTCGATGGCATTAAAACATTTACCACCACCAACAAAAGATTGGTATTCGGTATTTTCTTTAAATAAAACGGACGTGAATGTGGCACTTTAATATAGTCATTTATGTCCTCGAGCGAGTTTGGTTGTAAGACATAAAGTCTTGAACGCGTATCGCAAGGTTCATATACCGGATCGGGTTTCTTCATTTCGAATAGCAATTTGCCATCGTCGCTAACATCTTTCGGTCTTTGGGGTTGACGTGGAAAAGCATCAGGAACGGCTTCGTAGTCATCATCGATTTCATCGGAATACTCCAAAACTGGAATGGACAATGGGTTATATTTAATAATTTGGAATTTTTCTCTCATTCGTTGTCTAATATACTCACATGGCGCACCGTCCACCCACCATTTGACGCGTGCATATTGCCAGAAGAGTTGCGCTACTAGCCAGCGCCAGCCTATGCTAAACAGTCTAATTGGCTGCGCATAAAGGATAAATTAAACAAAACATAGTTGGAATGTATATGTATGTATGTATATAAATTTCACTTACATGCAGCAACGATTGCGCATCACTAGAATCATCCACATCGATGCGACATAATGCCTGATAGTCGAAAACATCAATGGCCTGGAAGTAATTTTTCTCCACCATGGCAGACATGACATCGCCTTGATATTCGCCAAAGAATTTGCCAGTATGATTGACATTTTGCGCTATCACAATATAAGCATTATTGTCTATGACATAGCATTCGATTTCGTCGCTCGTACAGGTTTTTATGCAGCCATTGCACTGGAAAATATTTGAAAGAAAAGATATTTAAGTATCTAGTAGTACTTTTACTGGGTTTCACAAAGCCACGAGGGCATCATGGGTCATAAAATAGCTGATGAGATTGCCGAAAGTACCATACGTCTGACAAACGAGCCAGAAAAAAGGATCTATGATGAAATTCACGAGAAGCTGGGAGCTGAACCACGATAAGATGGAACGCATTAGCGACATACAAAACCCGCGCAATAACAGCACACGTATTTCTTGCTTTCACGTTTGCGTATGTAGGAAGGACAGTTCTTGGCCTAATGACGGACCAAAATCTACTTGCATTCCATGCTTGCTATGTGGGTAGCAGTGACACATGTAAAAAGTGCAGGGAAGAAGGCATGAGGGGGACGTTAGGACAAACCCACTGATTCTGTTTGGCCTTAAGTAGAACTCCACTTAGATTTCTCGGTGCTTTGCACTTCATAGGACTAGAGGAGACTTCAAAGTTAGACATTACGGTTCTGTTGAGCTTCGTGTAAGACGATGACGTTTTAAACGACGACTACTTCAGTTCGCAATAAAATAGATCTTTATCTCTGTTCTGTATCTGTTCACGTAGGGTATATCAGCCGCCACTGTAATCTAACCAAACCTAAATATTTCCACTTCTACAATTTTTCTTATACTTTCTATCATTAAGCTCTTGATGAAATTTATCAACCTAAAGGGTCCACGAGTCTGATTTCCGTCCATTATTATAGATATTCTTCTTACCCAATCATAAGAAAATGTTCATGGAACCCGAGAGTGAAAACACTTTACCATCAAAACTCCACATAAGACGAAAAGAATCTCACAATCACACACGTAGAAGGGCTCGCCGTATTCGCTGAGCTGTTCCAAGCTCCACCTAGCCAAAAGCAGATCGCATTTTGACAGAGAAGGCAATGCTCGGCTGCCAGAGCGGTTATTAGGCTGTCTCACTACAAAAGGGTCCGCTAATGTTCTTTCTTCTATGTAGCAAAAGTGGAGTTATGGCTAAAGTAGAGCCTCTCGAGAACAGCGGAATCTTAAATTATCGAAATCGACAAGGATCTAGATTCCCTGAGTCCACCGGCACTATATTTCTTATGTCGTTGAGAGATACAAGCTACATATTTCCTATCAAACTTAAATTAGGCTAACGTTCGCCATTCATCTTACTCACATTATCCACCGAAGTGATATTGAAAAATCGATCCATCATACGAGCATGTGAGAATTGGAAACCAACCACACAGGCCGGTGCTTCCTTACCACCATCACGTGGAAATATTGCATGGGATGCCGTCACCATCAATTCGTTAGCCTCCATTGGGTCATTAGCATGCTTAACCATATAGACGAAACTTTCGGTGCGCTCTTGATGATGTTGTAATATGGCGCTTTTGTACCACGTCTCATCAATGGCTGCCGTATGATAATCACCAAATTCCTGATCATTTTCCACTTCCACCTCGCCGTAAATAAATTGCCAACGTGTCAGGCCGCTCATAGTAGCGACAAAACGTAGCGTCGCTCCAAAGCCTTCAATCAAACTGCGTTCCTCATCGTTGGCGAATTTCCACTGACCATAACTGGAGTTCGTAACTTTGGCATCGAAGATGAGTAGATGTACAAGCTCCTTATTGCAATAGTAGGCATCTTCGTCGAGCGTAATGCGTCCACAATTCACTAAGTGACAAAGAATAGAGTTTGTTTAATTGCTATCAAACGCTGACTCACATGTGTACTCACATTCTTCGTTGTCATCACGATCCGAGACATCCTCCTCGTACTGCTCCGACCATTTCCAATCATTTTGTAACATTTTTGCCAAAAAGTGCCGCAACTCAGCTTCGGGCGTCTTGAATTCATGACCTTCCAGATAGTGATACTTGCAGTAGACCCTAAAAAGGTGTTAGCACAAGTTTAAGTTTAGCTCCGTTGTTTTGCTACAAGATGAAAAAAATAAATGTCTCACCAAGCCGGATGCACTTTCCAGTTGTCGCCCGTAAAATAGTCCGATATATTGACTTTCATATGCTTGTTTTTTAATACTTCTTCACCAACTTTTATCCACGTCTTACCATATTCACTCGGCAGCACAATGCCCAATGAAAAAGGCGTATTCGGTAGTGGGGCAAAGAAGTAGTCTTGTTTCTCTTCGGACACACGACGCATGTCATCATAGTGGAATTTAACACTTATATCCTTAAATTCACCTGATTGGTATTGCACCATGGCGCTGCGTAGTAAAAGTATAGACTCGCCAGACTGACGTGGCTCCAAATCTTCATAGAGATGTTCCACTTCGGTGAAATCTATGCTGTTGTAATTGGGGTTCAGCATGCCGGTTTTCTAGAAAAAAAATGGAAAAAGAAAAGAAAATTAGCATTTGTAGAACACATTTCTTAGAAATAAATTAAGCTCACCTTTGACATGGGCCGTAAGTCTGGATGCAAAAGCATATAGCCATTATTTGAGACCACAAATGAATAGCCATTTACGCCAAGCTGAAAAGAATAAGAGGAAATGGCTACAAAACTTTCATTCACACAAGACATCTTTCCGATAATATTGTACGCGATTAATGGATTCCAAGCCTGAAATTGTGTGTAGCTAAGAAATCCTTGTTGGTTTCTCAAATCTCACGGGACAGAAGTGATATAAAGACGTCAGAATATGAAATTGATTTTCATAAGATCGAACATATTAGTAGATCCTGGACTTGAACCCTACCCAAACTAAAATCCATCTGCGAATCGCTGCTGAACCGTATCAAAATCGATCCATTTCTGAAGTAGATGGTCGCTCGGAATGATAAGTGTATCATTGACAGCAACTTGTAACGAAAATGGTCCTGGTCAAACACCAGTGAGCCGGCGCAAAAGGTCTGCAAGTCAAGGCTGACTGAAGGTTTTGTTGCGTGCTTGGTGGGATTGGTAAGGAATAGTTCAATGTGAGCTCCTACTCTGCGCTACTTTGAATTCGGACCTGTATTTGTCAGTATTTAGACTGTTTGAAAGAAGCGTACCGCTTTCGCCACAGGTGGGGACCCATAAACCGGTAGAATTTGGTTCGGAGGTCCTTATGCCACCACCTTAAAGGGCGGACCTCGCACTAAGAGATTACCAGCTGCTCCTGTGGCGAAAGATTTGACTAGTGTGGACTCGGCCCCAATATCAATCTTTAAAAAACGATTGTTCAATTTTTTCCATGGTTTCTATGAGAGAGGCAAGAGATATTATCTTTGTATATGTGACATAAATCAAATAATTCTAACAACGGTAAATAAAGCCTTAAATCCCTAGATTGTGGACTAGCGTAAACTTTAGATGATGCTCAGAGTATGATATTTTTCTAAGTCTTCCCAATCAAATATAGTGATGGAATTTTGTTCCGAAACTGCTCTTGTTTCTAGTGTATTTACCTCAATTCTGTGAAGTACTGTATTGGGAGCTAGCACAGTCAGCATGTAAGCTCCGGAGGCTCTATAACTTGCCTCTTGTATATATGTATGTACATACCTTGTAAGGCAGGGTTAATTTATCAATATCTTCCACCGGCACATCCGTTCCCGCTACACCAAGTAGACGTGCACGTTTTGTAGAGTTCTCATTGAGATACGATCGATCAAAAGCCGGTACGCCCACTGCAATCATAAGACGTGTGCCCGTATCATTTGCCCGCGGTTCATACTGCAAGTAGAATGTAGAGATGTTTTTCGAAAAACCTTCGATAACTTCTCGGTTAACCTACCGTTCGATCCGTAAACGAATGCGTCCATGTCGGTGGGTGTTCTTCATTCTGTAATACCAACGGCGTAGCTATAACATCAACATATCGCAGCACCTCCTCGTGCACCTCGTCAAGTGTTTGTACATGCGAATAATAACCACGATTTAAGCACGCCATCCATTGGATCTCACGCACCTTCGTCACCTCCTTACCCAGCAAATATGTAAATATGCGTATATTCATATTCATTGTGCCATTTTCACCATTACCCCAATTGTATTTTTCAAAAATCTCGGTGGTATTGCCAGCAACGCCATCGGTGACTACCATAATAGCTTGATTACAGGTGGACGTTTCGTTGCAACGTCGTTCGATATAATATTTTTTCAAAAGTTGAAATGCTTTCTCATAAGCCACCGATAGATTCGCATAACCCTCGGGTTTGATCTCTTCAATGGCATCGTTGAAAACATTTATATTTTCGGGTGTGGCTTGTACTAGCGCATCCTTGAAACATGGTATTATATCAGAGACGGTTGCTGAGTAATTGAAAATCGTAAAAAAATCATTATTCGAGAAAGTATCCAAAATACTGCGTATTGTAAATTTGGCAACATGATTGCGGAAACCGGTCATCGAACCAGAATTGTCCAATAAAATGACAATATCCTTGGAACAGGTGGCAGTTTCAATATACCACGAACGTTTGCGGCAATCATAGATGTCGGCATTCTCCGGATCGCCGCGCTTTTGCCATTGTAGGCCAGGATAGTGCCGTAATATGCCTGTATCGGAGCCAAAGTATTGCCACGATAGCGCCGGATCTGATTGATAGTTTTGCTTGAAGACGTCATCCAATGTTTCAGACCACATAATTGTCTTCAGAACATCTCTCGCTAAATTTTGATGAAACGAATGAAAAGAAAACGATATACATACATACATATTTTACAAAACATTTTTTTTGCTTTAAAATCACAAAAGAAAAGAAGAACTAAACGCCAACTCTTTTAAACATATTTAAAATTTTTAGTTTCTTTACAATCTCGGTAAGAATTCTCTAACAATGACAATCGGGTATAGTCGCCTATTATGAACAAAAATCGATTTTCCATCTTCGTTGGTTATCGACCATCGAAGTTCGTTTTATAACGTGCGATTGCTGTCGAAACTTTCGTTGTGCATCTTATTTTTCGAAATACTCAATTGTGGAAAGACTACTAGAAGTGCAAGTGGTTTGAGATCATTTTCTACTTATTTTGCTACTTAACATAAATTTTTGACTATTTAATTTTATGCAGATAAAAGTTGTGAGTACCAAACAACGGTTGATGCAATTGATTTCTCTTAGAAGCAAATTCTTTGGTTAGCGGGCAGGAATTTGCGCAAAGATTCGGGCGCCGAAAAGTTAGATAGAAAAACTTATTCTTGAATTGAATTGTCTAAAGCCTCGTAAAACATATAAGTACGAGTATGACTTCTGTAGAAATCATTTTCAGCTTTTTGTATCAAGTGTGGCCTGACATGTCGGACATGAAGTTCAAAACAACGTGAAAAACGTGTGAAAATAAACCAGAATATCGTGCAACTGGTGGAGGGTCAATTTTGCTCCACAACTCTTTGCCATTTTGAAGGTAATGTCATTGTGCATCTCTCATTGAAATCTTTGTCCGTGTTGGCCTACGGCAATCGATTTTCCCAGGCTTCTCTTCGGGCAAATTCTTCACCATTCAAATCATACGCCATAGACGTGAACAGACGTAAACAGATGGCAATCACTTGGTGGCCCAGACTAGAAGGTGGATGCAACAAAAAACCTTCCAACCGCACTCTCAAAGCTTCTAGCGAGTCACTATCGATAAGTGTGATGTGGCGTGGCCCAGATGAAACACAACTCCTGTTAGCCAAATGATGACATTAACGGTCTGAATTAAGAGTTTAGCCGTAGCTCATATTTGATGATTCCTTGGTAATCCCAGAAACAGTCTACAAAACCTTCCTGGCTGTCCTAGATAGGTGTCCGTTTGCGCCGACTTACTGCCTTTCGTTCACGACTGTGCATGATTGGCTGTAACAGCATCAGGAATATATAGACATTTCACGTATTTATCTGCCTGGTTTTCACCTTTATCGAAGGGCAATTGTAGAATATAGCGAATTTTCCCTTTGGTGGTGTACATCTTTTACAAGCGCTCAAATGCTACTGAGTTTCATGATGGGTAGGCCAATAGAACCATTGTGATATCGCTGCTGAGGTTCATGCCTTCATCTTCTCTAGTGATCGATCCATATCGTGTGCAGAGATAGTGTTCGATGGTTTCCGCCTCTTCTTCCTCCCTACAGCTGGGGCAAAAGTCATTAGAGTGATAGCCCACTATTATCAGGTGAAACCTCATTAAACCGTGTCCAGTTATTATGCCAGTGTCTAAAAGGTTAAGATGTTTTGATATTTTCACGTTCAACTTGGGCCATAACTGTCTAGTCATGTTGCTCGTGATCCCGTTCAGCCATCTTGAGCCAGCTACCCTGACAAAGAACAGTTTAAGCATGTACTTTGCCGTGAACGGCGGTAGAGGCAGCGTCGTGTGTTTGTTTTATCGTTGATAGAATGGTTCCTTCCGCCGCTGGCTCATCTGCCATGCAATTGGCTGGGATGCATCTGTGTCCAGATACCCAGACAACGTCAGCACTACATTTAGTTGAGAGTTTGTTAAGGAACTTCCTACATTTTAGGGCCGCTTTTGACGTAGTACCATTACGTTGCAGAGATCTGAGTATATTGTAACCGATGATTTTGCTTCCGTAGATTTGTGAAACCACTCGACGGCCACCATGATTGCAAAAAATTCATGCTCAAGCTCATATTTAACGAGAGCATAGGATAATAACTGCTTCCTAATGGTGGCTGTATTCCGCATGATCATACTCTACACTCAGCTTAGTCCTAAGAATTGAGTATATAAAATACTCTGTCCTGAATAACTGACTATCAACCCACAGTCTTAACCACTGAACGTGGAGACTTTTTTTTCGGTATTCGCTATTTGGTTCCTCATGAGCTCGTTCCGGCGGAACAGACGATCAATAAAGAGTATTATTTGAGGGTTTTGAGGCGCTTGCGTGAAAACATCCATTGCAAACGGATGCAATTGTGGGCCAACAATTTCTAGAAACTTTCATGACGATAATGCGCCATCGCACCGAGCTGTAGTTGTTAACAATCGATCAACCACCGTATTCAACGGATTTGGTGGCATGCAACTTTTTTATTTCCAAAACTCAAGTTACCTTTCTGTGAAACTCGTTTCGACTCGATTGAGGCCGTAAAAGAAACTTGGCAGAGGGAACTGAGATCGACTGATTTCAACAGCTACTACAAACAAACTGGTTGATAGATCGCGCTCATTTCTGGCATATTAAATAAGGCCAGTGTTACCGACTCAATTTATCACTCCGTGGAACCCGTGGAAAGTGCTGAAAAATATTCAGCGCTGGCAGTTTAAAATGTCAATTTCCGGAAGCTTTCGGGTCTTAATGTATGACGTTAGCAATCGATAAGAAAGAATTTTCGGCGATGTGGACCTAGGACCGTTTGATTTGCATAAAATTTGGTACAGAGATAGTTCTGGGCCTAAATTGAATATGGGTTTCTTTTTACCGGGAAATGGGAGCTGATTTGATGGTTCAGCTTTGCTTAATAAGTGAGTATTTGTCAAGGTTAATATGTGGATTCAAATCTTGATACGACCAACATCCAAAAGTTATAGAATATTATTTTATTAAGTTATATTCTCTAACTGTGGTCGCCCCTTGGTAGGGAATGTCCACAACTTCGAGTGTATTTCTGACGTGAAATAAAACCGCTCATAAAAAAGTCATCAGCCGTTTGGAGGCGGCTTAGTATAAACTGTAGGTTCCGCCATTTGTTGGAAAAATATTAAGACGTAATACCACAAATTGGAGGAGGAGCTCGGCCGAAGATCGTTTCAGCGATTACAAAGCGTCAATTACAAAAAAAAAAGTTAAATATGTGTTTACTTTCTGAAAGTGGATACGGTACAGATCTTTTCATAAGCTAAATTAAAATAAATAAAGTAAAAATATTATTAGAGCCATCTAAAAATTCCATGCTGACGAAATCGCGGGCAAACCCTAGTATTTTATATAACCAAATTGTCATTGTGAACAGTTCCGTTTATCGAAAGTCATCGATTAAGCCATAAAACCAAAAAAAAAATACATTCGATCCGCTCTTTCGGCCACAATCGAAGCTCGAATGCAACTGATAATTGGCGCCCATAAATTTCATAGATAATTGAATCATACTCACCACCATCAAATATATTAGATGGTACATGGACGGAACTGTGTTCGGTATCAACAGATATATTATAAAAATGCGTATCCGGATTTAATGTAAAATTTAAATACTTCCACGCATATTCCATCATACCCTCCGTTAAATTCTCAGCTGGATTACCCTCGAAACTTGAAAATTTGCTCGAGTAATATTGATAATTTTCCGCCGCATATGTATAGTTAAATTCGAATTCTTCATTGACGGCCTCGGCTTTTTGTTGTATACAACGTACCGCTTCCATTTTGCGCGAAAACATGCGCCCCACATTCGCTGTGATGGATTTAATGAGGTCGGTGCCATTCTTCAATTCGACACGTGCATTGTATTCTTTATATTTCTATAAAGAAAGTGGAGAATATGTAAGGATGGCTTTTAAAAATTATATTTAATACATAAATATTAATTACTTACGGCCTTTATCTCTTGAGATTTGGTCATGCGTTGCGCTAATTCCCACAATTCATCGCCGAATTGCATTGCCCATTTGCCAACGCTGTAAGAAGAAGAAGAAAGAGAGTAGAATACACTTCAATAGTTGTAATGGAAGAGATTTGTCAGTTTTCTTATTTAGTTTTCTTCCTACTCAGAGACGTCATAAAAGATATCTACCCCAAATTAAACCATTTTTGGGATCGATAGTTACCGTTAGAAATTTTATTTTATTTTGTGACTGGCATCAATGTCACAAGGGGTTTTGTCGTTGGCTGAGGCATACCAATGTCTCCAACAGAGAATTAATCGAGGCTGCTGGGCTAATAGGATTTTCCAAATATAGGTGTTATTCAAAGATATAAATGATCGAATATTTATTTCATAGCAAAGGGTAAGATATGCTAATAATAATGGAAAAATAATATCAGCCAAATGGCCGCTACCACTTCCCTTACAGGACCATATCCTTTTCATGAAATTTTGCATCACCAAATCATGAATTCCAGCTTTGAGATTATGAAACGACGGTAGTCTGTTGGCGTAGACCTTATCTTTTACGTGACTCCAAAGAAAGAAGTTTCAAGATGATAAATAATAAGACCACTTTGATCAATCACCTCTTCGCGAGGTAACCTGGTCTGTGAACCTTCCCCTTAAAAGATTGATGGTTTCGTTGCTTGTGTGGCACGTGGTGCCGTCTTGTCGAAAGTAAACGTTGTTCAGGTCAAAATCATTAATCATCTCTCGATATCATTCACTGTGACTGTTGCTCCAGCTTCATTTTCGAAAAAGTGAGATCAAATGATATCGGCGGATTGTAAACAGCACCGAACAGTTACACATTAAGGATGGAGAGGCTTTTCAATAATAAATCTTGGGTTTCCCGAGGATACGACGTAGTCATATAGTAATCATCTAATAACACATCTTTTTGGAAAACCCTTTATAATAATGGAAATCGAAGGAAGGCATAATCGGTCGTGAAGTGGTTGGGCTAAGAAAAGAGCGTAGAGGGCAGCCATTAAGGAAATTTCCTAGAGAATGTCTTTTGATTTGTTAGAAAGCAGGCACGTACAGACAGGGTAGGCCATTGTTTCCCTATTCGATCCTAATTTTTCGCTGCGGCAACGGCTGTTTTAAGGCAGACCTATTTGGCATACGTAATACTTCTATCGCTTGGTAGATGTTGAGACAACTGAGTTTGATAGACGTAAGGGAATGGAGATTTCAAGATCTTTTCAGTATAGTACACACGTACGTACGTACAACCCAACTGGGCGACAATTTGTACCCGTCGGTGAAGATTTAGATTGTGTGGATGGCGGAAGCTGCCGCAGCCTTTCAATTGAAGATGTCTATATGACATATATGCTCCATCTATCGGATATGAATTCCGCAAGCTTTGAAAATACATTTTTTCACAAGTATAATGGGACACGTAATCAGACATCCCTTTCTCGATATTCATCTAGCACTTCATTTTGGTATTAATCTGAATCCCCTGTAGGGTGACTGAAAAATTGTACTATCGGTGAATGATAGAAATTGTGGAAGTTTGGTTTCATTTCGGTTTCAGCTCCGCCTTGCTGAAATTAAAAAGAAGTCCGTTGCTCGTGGGCCACGAGTGTAATTTTCGTAACGTTCTCACCATAATCTTACTGAAACAGCCTTGATATTGTGTATGCATTAATTCGTGCGTTTTTTTCGAAATTTTAGACTTAGATTTGTTATACATTTAATGTTCAAAGTGTTGTTCAACGGAAGCTATGATGTTTGCCCATCTGTCTGGCAGTTTGTGGATCCCATCCCAAAAGAACTTCTCCGGGTTGGAGGTCAAGAAAGAATCGAGCCAATTTGTGAAGTTAAGCGTATTCCGGTGAGGGCATTCTGCATTGATCTGAACAAGTGGTATTGGGAAGGTGCTATGTCTGGGCTATAAGGCGGTAGTGAGGTAGAACTTCCCGACCACAGTTTTCCACATAGTTTTTTAACTGGCCTTGCAACATGCGGCCGAGGGTTGTCATGATGAAAAATTTTTCATTTGAGTCTGGTCGCATATTCTGGTCGTTTTTCCGCGATGGCCTTTTTCAAATGAATCAATTGTTTTCGGCAGAGATCCCATTGATCGTCTGACCCGATTTCAATAGCTCATAATAGAGCACACCCTTGTGGTCCCACATAGCATATCCTTGGCACCATGGATATTCGGTTTTGCCGTGGATGTCGATGGCCGGGCTTCAAATACGATCTCTTGCGCTTTGGGTTATCATAATGAATCCATTTTTCCTCGCCAGTGACAATCCGATACAAAAATGACTTCTATTGTTGGCGTTGAAGCAATATTTCTGATATGCAGAATCGACGTTCGACGTCTCTTGGCTTTAATTCATAAGGCACCCGATTTCCAAGCTTCTGGATGGATCCTAATGATTTTAATCGTCTGGAAACGGTTGCTTGATCAACTACTAATACTTTTGCAAGTTCTTCTTGCATCTGGCATGCATCTGCGTCGAGCAATGCCTGCAATTCTTCGTCCTAAAATTTTTTTGGCTGTTCGGGTCGTTCTCCGCCATATAAGTCGTTGTTGGCACTTTTAAACCGTGCAAACCACTTTTGGCAAATTCCCCGCAAAAACACTCTATCTGGTACAAATTTCGACATTTTCAAATGAATGAAACAAAGTGTTGTTCTCGCTAAAACAAATGATATCTTCTGAAAACGACGCGAAATGACAGTACCATTGAAATGAATATAGCCGCAGACGAACACGAATTAATGCTTACACCCAATACGATCAAAACGTGATAGTGTTCCAGAATACTAGGACATTCACTCCACTTCGAGTTCGATTCATCGAAGAGTCCCCACACTAACTTCGATTGCCAGTGTCGCTGAGCCACTGAATATAAGTTACTGCGTTGGACCTAAGATTCGTCGAAGAAAATAGAAGAAATAGCTTTCCATACCATGAATAGGTGGGGTTTTAAGTCCCGATTTTAATTGAGATACGGTTGTTGGGCAATAAAAAAAATCAGAATAAACGCGTAAAAAACAAAACGCTAACGGTAACTAAAAAAAATGGTTGTGCTTGCTTTGTGTATCAGAGGCTACCTCATATATCCAGAAGTTACATCGTCTCTTGTCGGGATTACCTCCGAAGTACAAAGTGGTAGAGCTAAAAATGCGAGGAAGCCTCTGAGGCACAATGTGGTAGTCTTGAGCTAAATACGAAGGAAATACTCCAAATAACTCAAAGTAATTACGAAAACTCAACGTGGGGCAGGGTGTGAAAAAGATCTGAAGATGTAAGGTGCTACGTAGGGTCTATCGACTGGCCTCATGTACTGGCAATACACGGCGGTTGTCAAGCCAATCTTACTCTATGATGCTTTGTTGTGGTTCAGAAATCCATTTAAGCGAATATGGCGGCACAATTGTTACGAGCTGCTCCCGTGACTGCATTTAAGAGGTTGCGCAAAGTATCACCAATCGACATTGCTGTAGAAATAACTGCAGGGTAATCCGCTGTGAGATTTGTTGGGTAAGGTGAAATTTCTTTGCTCAATAAGTAAGAGTATGGCGGACAAAATTTTTGGGAAAAAAGGTTTCAAGCCACATTAAAATAGGAGGATATCGCAGGAATATGCGAGTCGATAGCGGGATTACTAATGGCATGTGTCGGAATCTAAAAGCTGAGTTCAACATTAAGCTACCCTGCATGCTTCTGAGGTACTGCAATATTTCCCAGGCGAAGATCTTTGGTTAGAGGAAGGCCCTTTGGCTTCATAATACCGTAGGATACAATAACACGAAAAACATTAACATAATCTTTGATAGCCAGGCGGCAGTTAAGACAACAATCTCACAACGTATTACGCCAGAAGATATCTTCTGAAACAGCTAAGAAATTGACAAGGTGGATACAGAGAAGCGACGGCATATTTTTTGGGATCCAGGTTACTTGTTTACCGTAAAAAGAAATTGTTGATGAGACTGCCAAAAATTCTATTCGTACACGTGGATGAACTGCTGTGTTTGGTGACTAAGCTTATGCAAGTAAAAGTAGATTTTTTGCCTTATGAGACTCTACTGTAGTAGCTCGCCTTTGTTTTTCTCTTCAAATTTAAAACAGAAAGGTGAAAAAACTAAATTTATCCTCGGATCAGTCGCATTAGCCCAGTGATAAGCAGTGTGTACTCCCAATAGAAGGGCACGGGCTTGGGTCCTGGCGCGGTCAATAATATTTTGAAGGTAAGTTAAAAGAAGCCATCGTTATTAGGCACATTCATGGTACTAATACGGATGAGAGGAGAGAGTTAACACAAACTCGAAGACCATTTTTAAAAAGTTTGGTTATACTCTTACGTCTACGTCGCGCAACCTGGAAAAGTGATCAACTCCTGGGCAAGATGCGGTAACCAACCCGTGTGGAGTCTTGGGTCACGGCTTAAAGAAAGGAAGTTTCAGTGGAACCAAATGTCGGCCTCTGCAAGTGTTTTAAGCATTTGAGGTCATGCATCTGAAATGTCCAGTCCTTTAATTGGAAAAGTGCCACTGCTCAGCTGGTTGGAATTCACATAGAAATAAAGGCTGACATCATCGACGTCCAAAAAGTGCGATGGACGGGTCAAGGACGGGACCCAGTAGGTCCTTGTGACATTTACAACAGCGGCCATATAAAGGAGTGTGAATTTGATGTCGGATTCGCGGTGGAAGAGAAAATATTGACATCCAGTAAACACTAGGAAGGTTCGACGTCGAAAAGCCGCGTTAAAAACAGACGGCCGTACAGTTTTCTATTTGACTTGTACTCCTGCTCGCTGAGAGCATTGATCAGGAACTCGCTGTAAGGGAATTGTGAGACGTACAGCTGTAAACGATACTATTGGTTTACGAAAAGGTCGCAAAAACAGCTGGTACGATGAGGCCCGCCATGCCACAGTGAGGAGAAAACAGTATACCTTCCTCGCAACGTTGCGATCGACCACTGATATAGATACCGAGAAATAAAGATGGAAGCGAGAAAGATGCCGAGATGTGTGAGTATGATAAGCTTGAGAA